TAGCTGAGGTAGCTTTGGTGGCGCTCTACTTCCAAGTGACGACGTCGAATTAATTATTCGGGGATATCCTTTGCAACAACATTGATCGCAAGCCTCGATGTGCAAAACCTACATTGAAGAGTGAACAGCTAGAAAGGGGTGTTGGAGTAGAAAGAGGTGTTGCAGAGGAAGGTTTTTAGGAAGAGGTGTTCTAGGAAGCGTTGTTCCAGAAAAAGGTGTCCCATAAAGAGGTGTTCTAAAAAGCGGTGTTCTAGAAAGCGGTGTCCTAGAAAGATGTGTCCTAGCAAGAGGTGTCATAAGGAAAAAGTTCTCACCAAGGATAGAAGGGAAGAAGCGCCGAAAGGCCAAAAAGCAGCGAGGAACACGCGGGAAAAGCCATCGTCGCAAATACCCTCAAGGAAGCTTCCCGGTCCGAGGCCAAGAATGTGGCCTGCAAAGGTTCACGAAGGAGCTGCTACCATTGCCTGCGACATTGAACGGCTTCTCGGGCTGCCCGCTCTTAGGTCCTTGCGACAGATGTCGCCGACGTGCATGTCCGTACGTCCAGTCGGAGAAATGGCGCTGTTGTTTTCGTATGGAGGAAGGTGGAGGGAGGATGATTCAGCCAAGAGAGATAATACCACTATACACGCTGTTGAGAACGTGACAAAGTTGCAGCGTTGGGTAGGAGGGAGGTAGCGAATGAGATGTCGCATGCGAAAATGGTACAGTGAGGATGTTACATTCTTTATGTAGGGTATAGAGCAGCTGCGATACCGAAATACCACCCCCACCCGCAGGACGCCCTAGTTTCTATCCACGCCAAACAGGTAAGACCCCAACGCCTTCGCTCGAGATGGATATAAACCACATTACTGTACCGATACAATCTGCCCAGTCGCGAGAGCTCGAAACCAATCAAGCCTTCCTCCAACCATGAACACCGTCGCTAAAACCAAAGTGCGCACATATGATTAGTACAAATCTCCATCACCGCCCAGCCAAGATGCACTCGCAATTCAAGCCTTCCGCCAAATCGCCCCCACACTCGTAATCACCACCGAATCGTCATGTCCCCAGAACCCGGCCAGGACCCAGCCGCTCCTCTCGTCCGGCGCCTCCTGCTCCACGCTCTTGAGCCCCGCCGGCATGCTCACCTTCCCCTGCCCGTACTCCTTCCAGCTCGTCAGTTCCTGCCCGTGCGCGTCCAGCACGATGAGCGCCGCCAGGCAGCCGGACCCTTGCTCGTACTCGACGCGGACCTTGCTCGCCGCGGCGCGCTCGAGGTCCGCGAGCGGCTGCGACCAGAAGGCCGGGTTCGCGCTCGCCCGGCCGCCGACGGCGTGGTGCGTGCCGTCGTCGCGCGCCGTCGCGGCGCTCTCGCCGTCGGTGCTGAAGCCGATGGAGGAGAGGCGCCCCTGGCATCGCTTCGAGTGCGTCTGCCGGCCGATGACGGCGAGCCAGTTGACGGAGCGGCACTCGTGCGCGTGGAAGCGCAGGCGGGTGAGGCGGTCGAGCGTCTTGGCGCTCCGCTCCTGGTCCAGCGTGCAGAAGAGGCTGTCTCGGCGCCGGTGCAGCCAGGAGGTCGGCACGGGCAGGCGGTCGCCGATCAGGGGCGCGAATTCGAGGTCCTCGTCCCGGGCCCACTGCCCGATCTTGGACACTTCTTGCGCGGTGAGGAGGCCGTAGTTGGTGTCGCGGCGCACGAGGTCGGCTTGCTCGCGGATCGTGAGGCCGTGGTGTCGGATCTGGGGGGGATGTTAGTTCACCGGTTCAACGCTCAGGGCGCGAGTGTATCGAGTGGGTTTGCACGCACCGGCATCCTTTTCCTAATCTCCCCGGGCCAGGCGTATGGCACTGGTCTTTGGTTCCCGTTCCCGTCCAAATCGGCCAATGACGGGTTGTAGATTAGGTCCTTGGTCACGTCCGTGATCTGAGTGAGCCCTTTGCGCGCCAGCAGCCTCGCCTCGTTCAAGCTCCGCGGTGTCAACGTGATCGGGTCCGGGACATCGGTGCCCGGGTCCCGCTCGCGGTAGCGGTCCGGGTTCTTCATCATCTCGGACAGCTCGGCCCAGATGTCCTTGTAGGCGAGGAAGGCGCTGAAGAGATCCTGCGTGTACAGCGAGCAGAGGTCGTAGTCGAGGATGCGGAACCGGTCCCCCGCCGGGTTGCGCGCGTCGGCCTCGTTGAAGCTCCGCAGGCTCGTGTACCGCGTCAGGACGGCCGAGGTCCGCTGCGCGCACGTCTGCACCAGGTGCGGGAACCGCGTCGCCACGTCGACCACGGTCGCCAGGTCCCACTTCTCGTCCGCGGGCTTCAGGTCCCCGCCGCCGGCCCAGTTGACGGAGATGGTGGTCTCGGTGTCGTCCCAGACGTCGCTCTTGCCCTTGTCGAGGCCGTTCTTCGTCCCGACGGACAGGCCGGGCGCGGCCGCGATGGCGATTTCGGCCTCGGCGGCGGCTTTGACGGCGGAGACCTTCGACTTGTCGCTCACCTTGATGCTGACGATGGCGCTGAACTCGCCGCCTTCGGTGAAGCCGCTGATGAAGCAGTCGCCGAAGACGTCGGTGAATTTGGTGTTGTCCATCTCCGGGATCGGGTTGAAGGTCATCTTGTCGGCGACGGGGAGGTCTCGTTGGTCACTTTGACGGTGACGATGTAGTTGAGGTCGGACTGGTTGACCTTGTTCTCGTTGACGACGGAGGCGCTGCCGGAGCCCTTGATGGTGCCGTATTTGATCGACGCGCTCGACGAGATGTTGAGCGCTTGCACTATGTCGGACACGTTGTCCACCATGCGCGAGGAGTAGGTGACGATTTGAACGACGTTCTTGTGTGGCGGGGTCAGTTCGGCTGGGCGGACCGTTGTTGCGGGGACGGAGAGGGTGTTGGGACCGGTGGCGTAGTTTCCGGGTGCAGATGAACTCGAGACCTTTCGCACCATGGCGACTGAGTGGGAGGCATCTGATGCTAGTGATTCGGTGCTGCTTTTTGGGTTTAGTGTCGTGTCGGCGGATCCTGGGTGCAGCGGTGAATGGGAAATGGCTGGCTGGCTAGAACGTCGGGCGGCGATGGAGCTGCTGCTGAGGCGGGCCTTTCTGGCGGGCTCGATGAGGACGGCGTTTTCAATGCAGATTTCTTGTGTGTATGAGTTAAAGCTGGTGAATTGTTAGTGAGTTCGTGTTGTTCGAGGTGAGAGGAGAGAGGGAAGAGAGAGAGAGAGACTTACCCTTGTCCAAGCCTCATGGCATTCGTGTACGGTGCAAGGAACGACATGCCGCTGGAACCTCGGGAGTTTCTCTCCGCTTTGCTGCTTTGGTTAGCCAGCGTGTCGACGGGCTTTCGCCGGTTATTAAAAAGCCAGATCCAAAGAAGATACGAAGAGTGAGCCTTGTCTTGAAGGCTATCGGACTGGAAGGGGCAAAAGTGTAGATGCGATGGTTTTGGAAGTAGACTTACGAGTGAGAAAAAGTTGTTAGGAGCGAGTTTGTATAGAGAAGTTATATACCCAAGAGAGCTTATGATTATAAAGAAGAAGTTTCTGATGATCACGGACAGCCTCAACGGAGATGATTATTTTAGAAGTCCACAGGGCTACTGTAACCCATTATATGTGGAAAGGATTTCAGGCCTCCATCCGATGAGTCAGTTATACCAGGAACGATATTAATGAAACATGACGGTGGGGGCTGTATCACGAGATCGAAGGCAGTCAGAGCGAGGTAGCATCGCAAAAATAAGCAGCGACGGCCGCAGTTGACTCCGTGACCGTAAGCCTCTAACCGGTGCAAAGCGCTTCCTAGGCAGTTCAAATAAGGAAATGGAAGGAAGCGTAAGCGCCAACCCAGATCGTGTCAACAGAGCTCGCCATTGGCTGTTTCAGAAGCGTTTTCGTCTTGGCTTTGAACATGATAGGTGGAAACATAAAAATAACATCAGGCATGGAAATGTAGGCATTTTCTGGCCACAGATCCTGTAACATAGCCCACTGAAACAGATGAGGGGGATGCGACCACGAGGTTCAGCCGCACGGAAGGATCGAATCTTTCCCGCCGTTCATGTAAAGTTGCCTGGCACAGCGTCGCACACAGCCTTCTTGCTGAATCTTGATATACTAGGCTTACTAGCTACCTGAAAAACAAACTAAAAACGGCGACCATTTCCCATCGGGTGTTTAGTGAGATGATTCTTGTCGAGTATACTGCTCAAGACCACCCTAGAATTTATCTGACTTATCAAGACGTATGGGATCGACTAGTCGCATGATGATGCCAGCTACGTGGACTTTGCTAAGTTAAAAATAGTGAGGACACATACAGGTGCTGATCAGATTACTCCATCTGACGCTGAAAGAACGACAGAATTGAAAGGTAGGATTCTGTTGCGGCTGTCAGCTGCGGGCTTCGTATTCGGCTAATCTTCGGTCTTCTCGCGGGGTCGTCGTCTCACCACTCCCCCAAAACTTGCACCTTCACCTCAAGATCTTTCGGTCGGGGAGTCAAACCGTTCCTGACTGTCATCACGTAATCTGCATTCGCAAATCGAGTCTCCAGTGTACCAGCCCATGCAGCAAGTAGGCATGCAAACTCCCCCTTTGCGAAGCTTTGCCCGATACAGCTTCGCGGTCCATGCAGAAATGTAAGAAACGCATAGTTACTCTCGATACCTCCTGTATTCGCTTTCCCCTCGCCTAACCAGCGATCCGGGTTGAAATTGCCTGCGTCCTCGCCCCAAAAATCCTTGTTGGCGTTTGTTGCCCATGGGGAGATGAATATCGTGGTGCCTTTGGGTATGAAATGACCAACCAGTGTGGTATCTTGTACCGCTACCCGAACGGTGATTGGAACGGGCGAGTAGAGGCGGAGGACTTCGTTGCAGACTGCGTTGAGGTAGGGCAGGCTGTCTAAGTCGTTTGAGGTGATGGAGGATGTTGGAGATCGTGGGTCTGGTAGTAAGGAGCGCACTTCGTTGCGCAGCCGGGTTTGAGTCTCGGGATACTTACACAGCATGCATATCGCAAAAGATAGCGCAGAGGCAGTGGTTTCATGGCCAGCGATGAGAAAGGTCATCAATTGGTTGACGAGACCCTCGTCCGTGAATCCGCCGGATTCGATTGCTACCGAAAGAATGTTTCTAGCAGCACCTTCATTCTTGCTGGCCAAGTTCAATTTCTCTTGCTGCACGAGAGAGAAGCATGTCTTTTTGATGACTTGCGACGCCGCTTCGAAGTCGCTGTTACGTTTGATACTGTTCCAGAATTAGCCATGCCCGTAACGCCAGATTCAAGAAAGCTTACGGCAAGACCCTCACCAACCACGGGGCGATAAAGAAGAGAGCAGCCATAATTTGGCCACCCCGACCTGGCGAGAAGATCGATTTGTATGTGCGAATGAGCTCGTTATCTGGGTCTTTGATGGAGTCGAAGTCTCTTCCTAGACCTGCAAGGCCAATGATGTCGAGTGTGGCTCTACTAGCCCAGTCCTTGACGTCGATAGTTACATTCGGCTCATCGTTATCACGGCAGCCGGTCTCACTGTGCAAAATCAGGGCTTTGGATGAGCTCGCTCGATTTGCTCCAGAAGATGGGATAAAGTTCCTTGATATGCCTGAACGCGAAAGCTGGCATGAGGTCTTTTCGTTGTCTCTTATGTTCTTCCCCTTCTGCAAGAAATACTCCCACGCCCAGGATCCTTCCCAGGCCCGTCACAAGCCCAGGCGGCTTGATGAATTCATAAGGCCTTTGGACAAGTACTTCAGCCAGTGCTTTTGGACTGACTGGAATGAGAATTTCTGAGTTGAACATATCGAGGTATCTGATGACACCATCATTTGGGACCTGTTCGGACCAGACACGGTACAGCTCAGCCTGGCCGTTTGGCTCTCGTCTTAGCCTTGAAGATTGGCCCATCAAGAAGGAACCGCCCTGGTGATAGCTAAGCTTGGAAAGTCGGGAAGGGGGGCATTCAAGAGGATGGGGGGAAACAGCAAGTGAAGTGGACAAACCGGAGGCCCCGGCAGTGCACGAAGAGGGCTGAACAGGTTGGGATACAGAAGGCACCGCCACACGAGCCATGCGGCGGTCTCAACAGCGAAAATCTCAAAGGCGGTCATAACGAGATTCCGACTTGGCAGATAGGTTTCATTGTAAAGCTTGCAAAAGAAGGTAATCGCAATAGACGCAGCGAGGAATATTGTGAACGGCGCCATTGTTGCAGAAGGGTTGGATGAGAAGCTTCAAGATTGCTAAAATTTGACTTGTTGCCGAAGACACTGTACTGCTTGTTTTGTATCAGACACGTTGAAGCAGTAGACTTCTCAGTTCACGAGTTTGAACTATTCATTACCGGACGACTTGATGCTGCATCAGAAGGAAATGCCAAGAGGTATGTTGTACATGTTGTACACTCCTAAAGTCATGACGCAATGTATTTACGATCCTGTCTATCAATCGTTTTGGTAGGTCTCTGCTACGCTTAAACAGATTGGAGGAGCCTCTGTGCGATAGTACTCTTTGACAGGTATGGAGCATTTGAAGACTCGAAGTGGGCATCTGCTCTGGTACTTTGTAACGAAGAATCGGTGAAGAGCTTTAGCTTGGCCAAGGCCTAGCTTAGTGCATTTTTGGCTAGCGTTCTCTGATCCTACTCTGCTGCGGCAGCTAGATTCCTACATAGAATATCAAGCACAATTCTCCCACCATAAGCACCGTGGGAAAGTAGATTCTTTCCCCGGTGAGTCAATAGTTCGATCATCTAAGCAGAGTCCAAGATGTATTGACTCTCCTCAAGGGCTCTTTGAAAACCACCCATAGTCTTGCGCCAGCGCTTTGGTGATTTCGCCTCGAATATCACCAGATTCTCGTGGCCAGAATGTGGCATGCAAGAACTATATAGGCAATGTTCAGGAGCGACTGTAAGTAAGAATGATAGGTGACATCTCTAAGTGCGCAGGTCCGATTTGGGACATGCTTGAGCCCAGAGACGAGAAGACTGACCACGACTTCAGATTTTGGAAGCATCTTTGCTCAGTGGCCAAAAATCGGCGTACAAGGACTGCCCCCATTCCATGCACAGTGAAAGAGAAGTACTCGACGAAGCCTCTCAGTTCCTGCATGGCCGTGCATTGGACGCCTCTTCTTACCTCAAGGGTGTCGACACACTGCTACATACACGGTTTCAGGAACCAGGGTCTCTTTGAAGAAGAGGATGATCCGAAATGAGGGTGGTGTCTGACAAGCCATTCCCTGGGAAGGGTTGTAATACTCTCCGGTAGAACCTTGTGTATCAGAAATGACCTCGAATGAACAACCGTGCCAGAATACTCATTCGTCCGTCCTTACATCCCAAAAAGACGCAGACAGCACATCAGGGATTCCGCTTCATCTCGAAGTCTTGTTCGATGATGCCTATAGCCTTTAATAACGTAAGGGGAAACGATGTCCTACGCGCTTCAGCAACCCAATGACTATAAATTTCTATACAATCCGAAAGTTGATACGCCTAATTACTGCATTCAAGTACATATCCTTGAACGGACCAGATTGAAACTCTTCGGAAATTAAGCCGAAAAGGGCTATTGAGTGTGTCTCGACGCGATGCAAGCGTTAACCGCGGAAGGACCTGACTGGAACGCTTGTTCGGAAATTCAGAGAAGTACGACAGAGTGCCGCCACTATGATTATGATGTTGTTAAATCATTTTTTGAAGCTTGGTTGCGATCCCTTTACAATTACGAGGTCCCCCAAGATCAGCTGCTATCATTATGAACTTCTACCTTCTATTGCTAGCGGCGCTCACTTCTGCCATTAACACGACACCGTCCCTCCTTTCCCCAGGCGTTGACCCTAACACAACACTGCCACTTTCCTCTTTGGATGTTGCATATCGTTGCGCATCTCCAGCACGACACGATCCTGGTCGTGTCATGCCGTCTGCATTGGACTGTCTAAATATCTTGACCTTTATCCTCGCTACTACACCCAACCATAACCGACCGACTCAGTGGAGCCGAATTCCAGGTTCAGACCACACCATATTGCCATATCGCCGGTTCAGCGGCACTTGTCAGCTTGTCGTACGACTCACTCCAGTACATCCAGCTCCGACAGTGGAAACAGCAACATTTGATCACGTCATCGGAGCCGCCATGCGGATCATCGAAGTTTGTTTTTTGAACAGCAGACCGGATACAGAGCACCGGGGTGGTACTGCTGTGGTTGGCTCGAATAAGTATTTGGATGTCGTTGTCTGGGGGGCACCCGATTCTGGTGGTAACGAAGCGCTTTTGAACAACGAGACAGTCGCATTGAACGGATCAGGCGCATGGATTCCTCGACTTTCTCAGACTTGAACTTCTGAGAAGGTCTGAGTTGACGGACGAGTTACTGGGCGTGCTCTTCAGTATCATACATGCCGATGTATATGGTGAAGTCGCGGCTATTTCGTGGTACCCCCGTACACTATGCAGATCTTTATCACGTCAGAGTGGAAGTAAATGCATCACGGTGTCGCGACGGTGTAACTGTCATTTTCCTTTTATTGAAATCACACGTGCCCTCGTATGATACTACTCAGTCCTCTTATCTTTTCTGCTTTTTTGGGAGAGGGATAAAGGCCAATGCGCAAGAGCGCGGAAAGCGCGTGCAGCTCGTTTCGAAACATCATTATCCGCAGCGGTCAGACGAAAGTTTTGTCATATATGCGTCGGCAGGGTGGAACCTCTTTTCACAGCTTTGGTGACTGACTGAATTGACAGAGGATGCACCTCGTCGGAGTTTTTGTACTGGCTGTATTGCTAGCGAATGAGCCGCAGTCTCTGATAGCGGCAACAACGACAAATGCTTTTCCGGATCCCTATGACAGAAATATCGAATCAATTGGCCTGACCATCGAATTCTATGGCTACCGAGGCTCCATCTCCCCTTTTGGATTGAGCGATTGCATATCAGCTGCCAGCAACGATGTCGTCCGGCATCTCCTCGAAAGCGAAGCCCCGATGAACATGGAAGCCCCTTCGTACTCTTACCTTGACAGTGGGGTGAATTTGTTTCTCATCCCTAACGACAGCCTCACGTGGCACATGTGGGCGTTCGTGCCGGGTTGGATCCAGGAGTTCGTGACGGAGAATGAGTTCAAGGGGACGCAGTTTGTTCTCTTGTGGGAGGGTTTTGGGCCCGTGGGCTTTGGTCAGTTGGTCAACACTTCGACTGGTACACTATCCTGACCTAGACTCGGCGTCTTCTGGTCCGTACGACAAAGACACTTAAATCTATGGCTACCAAGGCGGCCAAAGCGAGACATGCTGGGATGACTGATTTATTGTGCATTGACCGCAACCACAGAGGTATTGGATTTTACTCATAGTTTCGATCATATAATCTGATTTCGTTCTTGGTCCCAAAGGAACTTTGAACGTGGGGTCGATGCATGTCGATGTCATCAGTAATGTTGGAATTCGTGAGGGAGAACGATTTCAGAGGGTCGTACTTAGTCATTTTCAATGAAAAGATGAGGGTTTACGCTTCTACCGTCCGCCTGAATCGTGGTCTTTCACGCTGTTGTACAGTGAGTGCGGTCTAGCCTTGGTCGATCAGAAACATTTCCACTCTTTTGACTTCCACACACGCTCTTCAAAGCAGTGAGACGTACTATCAGGGTTGAGACGATCTGGCTGACGCATCGCGAGAAGAAGTAGTGGAAACCCTTCGTTGTAAAATGTTCGGGTTGGGATGAAAAGGGGGGCATGTCGAATTTGGCCCCCACGCTTCCCAGCCACCGTGTTGGTCAGCCACCTGATTTTGTACTGTATTTAGGACTTGGCCCCGGAGAGGTCTGGAGAATCAATCCATCCGTTCTACACATCACATACCTGATATTCTAACAAATTCTATCAGTCTAAAAACATCAGACGAAAGCCGAGTGGGCGAAATTTCGAGCCCGGGGGTATCCGCACTTCACGCTGCAGACACCCCTAATCGGGTCCCGTAGGCCCCGTAGGGCCCCCGAAGGAATAATTCCTACTACGCTGCGCAACGGGGCGGGGTAAACTTCGGGGGTCAAACCCCGCCCCGAACCCCGCCCCCGTTGCGCAGCGTAAATACCACCGTCATCAATAATTAAGTCGACGACTACTACCAGACGCTCAGTAAGCCTACCGCTACCATTAACTTCATTAAACCCTCTCATATCAGAAAGCTATCATTTAAGATCCTCATCAAATCATACCCCAAGCAATGACAAATTACCGAATCATACCCCATATTTGGGTGAAATTTGGTGTAGGGGTATGATTCAGTAATTAGGGGTATGATTCGGAAGACCATACTTTTGGGGAAATTAGTAATTCGCCCTTGTCCTTCACAAGCAAACATTCCAGTGACAAGGGTCTGACGGATGCATGCAGATTCTGATACTGCGATAGTTCTAATTCCTGCAAAGTGACTCTTGCAATGTGTGGCCATAAGATCCCACCATTACAAACCTTTCGTCGACACCGTCAAACATACAGAATAAGGGGCCACCTAGACGTATTTAGCTTCGCCGTGGTGCGGTGAAGTCCTGGCATCTCTCTTTGTTTTACTGTACCGCACCGGCCATGGACACCACTTTGAGACAAGAAAATACCTCGAAAGAGTCAAAACTCTCAATGACCGCGAATTTGCCCAATCTGCAAGCTCAGGAAGAAGTCGCGGATACCTCAAAGCACTCGGTTCATTCCGTCTGGTCTCGGACATCTACACTTGAGTTTCACCACGAGCCCTTCGAAGAATTCAAGCCACTCGTTGAGCAGCTGTGCTTAACAATATGGCCAAACTCTATGAGAGTTCCAACCCTCGATTACCTTCTAGGCAATGTCTTTACGGGCTTTCTACGAAGGAAGACCTCTTCTCGCACAGCTAGCCTTTTTTCATCCAATACCTTCCATGTCGAGCGTCTCTCGGGCGGCAGCTTCAATCGAATCATCGGCATCACAGTCACCAAAGCAAAGTCGCAAGACGCGATTCGATACATTCTGAGAGTGCCACGTTTCGAAAGCGCCCGTCCAAATCAAGAAGTCGCAATCGTAGAATATGTTCACCAGTATTCCACAATCCCTGTGGCAAGAGTCGTCGCCATGGACTTCACAGCGAACAATCCTCTCAAGCGTCCATACGTGGTGCAAAATAGGATACCTGGCTTCGACTTACAGTCAAAGAAACAAAACTTCACACAGCTGACTCATGAGCAGCAATGCACTTTCTCGACCGAGTTCGGTCGCATATTGCGTAAGCTGCAAGAGATGGGCCATTCCACACCGGGTCAGGTCGATATTGCCGCCAACCAAGACGGCAGTCAAAACTACAACGTCCGCGCCTTTGATGTCGATGCCGACCCTTTTGGTGACAATCCAGAACTGGATGATATCAGTCTAGCAGCACAGGCGCCCAATCACTGCTCTACGCTCGAGTTCTTCCTATCACAATTTGGAAGGTGGAAAGCCGCCGCTTCAAAGCACGATGATAGTATCAAAGCCGATTACATGAAGTGTCTCGCAGCTGTAGCGACTCAGATGAACGAAGTTGGCTTTTTAGGTGACAACGAGAATTGCCTATGCCATCTAGACCTCAATCACGCCCCTCAAAACATAATGGTCAATATACAAGACAGTTCACTCTCGGTCTCTGGTATTCTGGATTGGGACAGCGCAGTGTTCGCCCCTCGATTCGTAGGCTGTGTTCCGCCGATGTGGATCTGGGCGTGGGACTTTGAGGAAGACGAAGACGAGGCTCATGCCAACGATACACCAAACAGTCTCAAACAGCAAGAACTGAAGCAGTTGTTTGAAGATGCCGTTGGAGAAAGGTTTCTAGGCTTCGCGTACCCGCCACAATACCGGATTGCTAGGAGGCTATTCAAGTTCGCTCAGCAGGGGATGAATGCCAGCTGGCATATAGAGGATGCTGACAGATTGATCAGCGAGTGGGCTCAGATACGTCCTTCACACCTGCCAGAGATTCGAAATCCTTTTGACGAGTCTGATTCGTCGAGCGATAGTGGCGATGACAGCACTGAGTCCTAGAGAAAGTACATTGAGTAAGAGACCAGACTTCTCTTCCCTTGCTGAAAATGGCAACCTCGCATATCCTGCATTAGCTTTCATTCATGATCAAGCAAATCAAAGAAACGTTGCCTAGTCCGAACCAATCTAGAATCCTCTTTCACACCCATTGTCCGTGATGCTCATTATAGCAGACTCTAAACAACTTTTTACTAACCGTAAGCATCTTGCCAGAAGCGCGGGTCAAGATTTTTGTTTATGCTTGCCTACTTGTATTCAGCTGAGCTAGCGAGCTGCGTTTCAGGTATGCGGCAAACGGGCTGAGCAGCCCCGAAGGATACCCAGCATTGATACCATGATTGAACGTCCAATTACTTGCGGTTCTGGTATGAATTCGTCCGAGGTTCTGCACTTCATGGAAAGGGAAATGCTTGGATTCCACGAGTTGTGAAATGTAAGCCGGTCGTGTGGGTGTGGTGTTGATCCGCTTTGTTTTCTGGTAGGCCAAAGGATTCGTCGCATGGTGTATGCGGCTGAGGAATCTTACTGCGGATGCTATGCATAGGTCATCTACGCTATGGAATAAGATACCGGGGCAGTAGAAATGGGGCGGTAACGTCAAGGTGCACGCAAGGCGCAGAGATCGCACGGCTGAGATAATGGATGCTTCTTCAATGTGTCCTCTCCTCTTTCCAAATGTTTATTTCTATTTTTTTTATTCTTGTTATCTTATTTCACCAGGATTTTGCACCTCTTCTTTAGCGGGTAGCGAAAGCCGTCTTCTTCGCAATGGTCATGACAATTTCCGACACCGACGGTGATGGCAAGATCCCGAAAATCGCATTTGAGGTCATTCGATCTACCACGCATATCGCAATATGAAGCTAATCAGTAGCAGGTCGTCACTGGAACTCTCTTTGGCACTGCAATCATAGCAGCCGCCATGCGGACAGCTGTCCGGCTTCACTACCAAAGAAGACTTTTCCTAGATGATGCCTGCCTCATGATCGCCTGTGCAGCCCTGACTGGAGGGTTCGCAATGCTTTACCAGTCACTTTACACTCTGTTCCTTATTCAGCATTTTGCACAAGAGGGGTCTTCCGCCAGAGAAGAGGCGGCGTCAGCTGGGATCGATGTTGCCGCTGAAGTTCACAACTTCCAGATCCTTGACTTCGTCCATGAGCCTTTGCTTTGGGTCGTCATGTTCTCGGTCAAAGCTTCATTCTTGGTGTTTTTTCGTCATCTCGTCAGTCGTGTTGAGAAACTTGTCGTGTACTGGAAAGCAGTCTGCGCTGTCAACGCGGTTGCTTTCGCATTTTGTGTGTGTTATACCTTCATTGCCTGCCCGCACACAGATTCCTCAGCTAGTGAGTAGACCCGCCGAAAAGCCATTGCTGAAATTTGAGCTGAGTACAGGTGAAACTCAGTTCAATGCGATTATGGCTCGCAATTCACGAAGCGATCTGGTCTCACCACGACTGGTATCATCTTTGATGTGGCAACCGATATCTTAAGTCCGAATGTTCATCACACTAAGAAGATAGGACACTGACTCGTAGCAGTCGTCAGTATCCCTGCGCGCGTTCTGTGGCAAGTGAGAATCGACACCCGTCAAAAGCTAGGCATCGGCGCCTTTCTTGGCCTCAGCATCTTCATGATACTTTTTGCGTTCATTAGGCTCATAGGCTTCCATCTCAGTGCCAATTACGGATACACATGGCAATTCTTCTGGTTTCAAATCGAAGGTTGTATAGCAGTGACGATGGTTTCAATCACTGCTTTTCGCTCCGTCTTCGTCACGCAGGCTTCTAGATCCAGTGGAGACAAAGCAAGACCATGGTACTCCTCGACTGTTGCAAGACTTCGAAAGGCTCGTAAGTCAGCGGAAGATCACGATCTAGAAACACTTCCTGCGATCCCGGCTGGTACCATGACGGGCATGCGGACATTCATCAGAGGAAGTCGGCTTGGTGTGGGGCCGGAAACATACGACGAGTTGACTGGCTTTGAACCCTCGAAGCGCACCGGACGCGAAGTCGTGGTCACTCAAGATGTTTCATGGGAAGAAGAGGTGCGTCTTGGTCGGCAGCCAAGATGATGAGATACTGACATAAATAGAAAATACATCCTCACGGTGCTCACATCAATAACGCAGCGTAACCGAGGATCGGGTAATTGAGACCATGCCGTTGAGGGCATCGTTGTTAGTGACACCAATGGAAGGAAGACAACCCATTATAAGGTGGCGGTGGAAGCGACTGATGGCGCTCCTCAGTTCAGAGCAAGGTCCTCCGATGCATTATGATGCGGGAGTAGGCTACCTCGGCTGTAGCTTGAGCATACTGTTCTACATGTATATCAGAAGGAATACATGACAATATCGGAATGTATGGGGATCGGCTAGAAGTGGCGATGGATTGAGAGGACTTGTGGAAGCGGTGTGCGATACGCCGAGCTGCAGTAAGGAAGATGCATTGAGAAGACTTTGCAGATCGTGGTGGAAACGAAGCCTGTGTGAGCTGTATCACGAAGCAGTGTGCGAGCATTCCCCGTTCCTCGGATAAAGGTGGTGAGGGTCTCAATACCATGCAGATATCGATTGTTTTTCCCGTACCTTGTCCCTTGGTGTTGAGAGCTCCTCCATTTTCAGAGTCGATTACGCACTGGTCCTGCCGATTCGTAGTCAGGGATTCGAACGCCCTGTGCAGCCAGCACCATGCGTGTACACTCTTTTCAGAAAGCGTTTCATCAAAGTGATTGATGTGGCTTGGACGAATTCTGCAAATATCCGTCCCATCGACATCCATCTCAACAATCTTCACTCATCCTCTTTTCACATTATCCTCACCCTCTCATAGACCAACCATCGTGTTCGTCCCCGGGTCCTTCCACAAGCGCGTCCACTTCACCCTAACCATGTATCTCCTTCAAATGTGCTCCTTTCCTAGCCTAACCGTTTTCCTCTTCAGTATAGTGCTAATAACAGCCACTTTGATCATCGAGATTCAAACCACTCGCTCGGCGTGAGGACAACTAGTCGAAAAAGGCAAAGATGTGGTGTTGGCGGCACATTCGTACAGTGGGGTACGAGGATTTCAGATAGTGAGCGGACTAGAGAATAGCAAGCGAGTGAGCGAGGGGAACGTGATGGCGTCGTTCAAGCGCAGTGCATAGCGGCTATGCTTGTAGCAGAGGGTAACGCGCTCGTAGATGCTCTGGGTAGAGGACTGCCGCATTGGACAGACCTGGGATATTCTCTTGCCGTCTCCACGCTGACAGGAACATCCGACAGTATCAGGGCATGGTCCTGCGTCCCATGGCCACCGCCTCCATCTTCTTAAACGATCTTCCAGCCCAAGAAGCCGATCACTGGGCGTCTCTCTTGCTCCCGCACTTCTTTATTCCATTTCCTACGCCAATGGTCAGCGCCTGCTGTGGCCTTGGTGTTTCCATCACGTATCTCCTCCATACTGAAGACTCAGCTGTCGGAATACTGGAAAGGATGGTATTGCTAGAGATGAAGATGGGGGAGTGAAAGGTGGAGCGCATAGCAATGGGGCATTGCTGTCGAGGAAGGGTGGCTTTGCTTCACCTCCCCGTCAAAAGTCATTAGTCACCGAGGTTTACCCGGCTACTGCTGGCTTCCCACCAAATGGCTTCAAAGAACTTGGCTTTCTTACGCGTAGTAGCCTCGCGACGACGAGGACTGCATGTAGGTGTGTGGGGGGGTGTGTTATCCTCCATTTGGTGACTATTTAGGAGTATCTACAGCAGTGTTTTGGTGGGAAGCCAGCAGTAGCCGGGTAAACCTCGGTGACTAATGACTTTTGACAGGGACGAGCTTGTACAGGCAAAGGAGGTTTCACGCTAGGAACGATTAAGCGTAGCGGAGTCCGCGAACCAATAGCGACGAGACAGCGCACACAACAAATAAAGCTGCTCGTCTGCTGAACTTCGATCACTCACTCAACTACTTGCAATGCCGTAAGCATGGCAAAACGCAAGAACGAAGCCGAGAAGGCAGAGGGTCAGCGTAAGAAGCGCGTCCCTTTCAGAGCCCCAAAGGCTGCTACCAAAGCCGTGTTGGATCCCAACTACCGAGAGAATTCATCGTATAGATCACTGACCCGTGCTTCCAGGATATTGCAGAACGCCACGGCCTCCCCTCTCCTACGTTTGCTGCCTCTAGAGATCCGTAGAAAGATATATACCGAAGTGCTAGGGCACAGGCTCATCCATCTCAAGTACCTCTACGATGACGATTGCGAGTCACGGAGCGACGCGTCTTCTATCCCTTTCGACGTTGAAAGAAAGGCTGTTGTTGCACAAAATCATTGGTCCCTATTGGTCTGCGACCCTGATGGTCCGCGCAGTAAGGAAGAGTCCCAGTTGGTCGACTTACTACCCACGGGACTTTCAAGCTTGTTTTGGCAACTTTGCAATCGAAATCTCGGTCTAGGTAGCATTTTCTCTAGGAACGTGCCTTTTGAAGAGCAAGACGGAAGAATGGACCACAGGGAGATGCATATGGGTTTACTCCGCACTTGTAGGCAGGTCTACACGGAAGCCAACCAAATACTATGGTCTACAAACACTTTTTCTTTTAACGATGCCACTACGTTCGAGCGCTTCATGGAGACTCGGGACTCGTTTCAGAGAAGAACCGTGCAGAAACTTCGACTGGTAATCCACTGGACGTTTGAAGGGGAAAGAGAGTGGAATCCTGCTATAAGGCTACCTCTCATCAGATCTTTGCAGAGACTGCGGCGTCTGGAATTGCTCATTGGCCATGAGATGGACACTGAGTCATACTCGAAATTCAAGAACGGACATGGGCTGGATGCGCCCTTAGAGACTCGTTTCGCGGAATTTTTGCGGAAGCTGTCCGTCTTGCCTTTGAATTCGGTCCATGTCAAGGTCGTCTCAGAGGATATGCACCCTGCCGGGCCGTTGGTATCACTCTGGACGGAAGAAGATCAACTGGAATATGCCAATGTCCTACGGGCGAGGCTGATGAATCCGGACAGCGCTGACAATCACATCCGAGTTCAGCAAGAGCTCATAGAGAAGCAGCATCGCTGTGCTTCAACATTGGGGTAAAACACCTGATTACATCCAAATACGATGGCAAGCAGCTGGGGTATGTCATCTTCTTCTACCTGATGTCCTATCTGCGGCCGCCCGCTCTCCTGGTCCGTCATTGGGAATCCGCCTACTATCCCATCGACTGGCAGTCAGCCATGCGTGCCAAGACATTCTATGCCCCAGGCGCTAGTCGATGGGATAGTCTAGACGATATTGCAGTTTACCATAGTAGGCTATAGAGCGACAGCATCAGTTTCTTTGCGTTTATAGACCGCTCATGTTGGATTTGCTGAACTACTAGCGCGAGAACGAGGAGTGTTTCCTAACCGTCCAGTAATTGACGGTTGTCGATTTCTTGATATTCACCTCTAGTATCTGATACATCGCTTGCATACATAGATGGCCACGATTCAAGTGATAGATTCCTGTTGACAACTTACGATAGGGTTTGTATTTTGAGAGCAGGTACTATGGGCTCTATTATCCGCAAATTAGGAGATAACGCCTTTGATTTTGCTATCCGTGCTTTGAAGCTTGCAAGCTCTCGGTGCTGGGGGAAATACTATGTTGACTGATTGAAAGCGCGCTGTGAGCAAGCATCTCGGATCATATTTCAATGTACCACAAAACGCCCTTAAGCCTGTCACTACTCACCCCATACATCGCTGAACAACATCTCTTCCTCATTCCCCAGCCGAAGAATCGAATTCCTGTTCTCGCGCTTAGGCTTGATAATGGGTACCGTCGCCTATATCCTTGACATATTTCGTTCAGCTCTATTCATTACCATTGACCCTCCTGTCTCATCTCATTACAAAAATAATACAATACCTACTGTCGACGACACCAAATGGGGCAGAAGAGATTTTCAAAGGCCGGCACAAATGTCTCCAGCGCCATCTTTCCAAGGGACATTTTGCTTGACTGTCCAACCCACACCCTGGACACAACCATGCTCAAAACGGATCTCCCCCTTCAGTTTGTCTTTGCCGAGTCCGTGTGTTCTCAGGTTAGCCTGGTTCATCGCTTCTATACTGATATGGAATCGAGCACGTGCGCTTATGTCCATCTTTGAGTTCTCGGTGTCAGCGAGTCTTCTCTAAGTTCGGAGGTACGAGTACATATAAGATAGCTTTGCCAAGTAAACATCTCAGGCCACGTCTCATGGCTTCGATTGCGGTGCCTGTTAGGATGTGAACACCCCGAACAGTGGACTCACATTGTATTGCGTTGAGACAGGTCTGACATGGTGCGCCACACCCCTTGTCAAATACCAAGAACTACCATCGCTGTAGGATAGAATTTTTCGCGGTATAAGACTGGTAGGGCCTCGTCGCGAGTGATACTTTCAACAGCTGGAAGAGCGACACGCAGCGTCTCTGATATAACGTCTCGGTCCGGCAGTAACGTCTCAGTCCCGCACAGCGTTTGTCACGAGAGTGGAGAGTCCTTCGCCCTCGTAACGGGCTGAAAACGGAACGATTCTGCCTTCAACGCACAGGCAGCACTCGAGGATAAGGTCTCGGACCTTGATATGGAGTCTGGGACGCCAACTGTATTTGGATGTGTGTGATGTTTGTGAAGAGTGGAGGCTCTCTGAGGTTTGTCTGAGGTTAGTGTTCTCTGCGCTGACCCACGTTGCGTGTCAAAAGGTTTTCATTATGTTAGTTATTTTAATGGGAAATGATCACTCTTCGAGGATTAGCAGAGATGAAAGAGAAGAGGGATACTTTTCACAAATGGTGGCTGGGGGAGCTGAGACGGTCGTCTCGGACTTATTGTCACTGCAAGGTTGCTTCTTTCATCAATCTTCTTGTTTGGTATAACTCTCCTGTTGAGGAATAATAATTGTTGTAGGTATCTCATTTTCGTAATCCCGCGTTCGGAAAAGAAGTCTCCGGTACAAACATACGCCTCACTGCACACGTGAAGCCTTTGCAGATATTATTCCCATCGCTAATAGTCACAATCTTCATGATGCGCTCCAAACTTCCAGCAACGCATACGATTATAGCCGCCAATCGCATGACCGACGTATGTGCAAGTAAAGCGCATCCAAGCAGCTTCGCAATGGAGTTAAAAGAAGCACAGGCCCACAATCAAAGTGTTTCAAACAACCTAGCCGTCGTGGAAAAAGTCCCTGGACTATTAGATTCGTGTTGCTCAGTGTTTCACCTCGTGCCCGACCCCTCACTAACATTTCTAGGTTCCGTTTCCCATCTTTGAACGCAACTTTTTGACCATGTCATCCTTGTCCTCTTATTTAGCAATATATTACCTGCTCCCGACCTTCGTGATTTCGCTAGCCTTGCATCCACCGCAAATTCGCGACGGCTCAATCACCCTGACGAAACCCTCGTTGCTTCTTCCATCCTTGAACGCTTCTGCCGGATCAGAGAACTCGAATACCACGCCCATCCTCACCTGGGCAAAGGTTAGCTGCGATGATCGCAGTTTTGGCAATCCCCCGGCTGCTAGCTGCAAGGACGCTCTGGCTCAGATCCCGCAAGATCCAGCCACTATCATCACGGACCCTGAGCGTAGCTACGGACCGCGCGGCAAGGGTTCCTGGGATGTCAACCTTCCGAAACGATACGTTGGCTGTAAGCACCTTTTGATGCCGGGTCACGATTCAGTGCCTCTGGTTGGTTTTTTATCTTTTGGCTGATGCTCGATAGCGGATGGGCAATGCATTATCGATCTTATTCAGACGTCTTACCCTTCACATGTGAGGAATGACGACTTGCTTGGGGCCGCGACTATCATCCAGCAAGAGTGCGTGGAGAAAGCTATACCTCCTAGTACGTACAGTTAGGTTTTTTCTTGTGTGTCAATGTACTTCTACATTCGACTTTTGAGATAGGTCCCAGGAACAATGAGTTCCGGGTATCCCTGTAACTTGTCGGTCGATTTAGATTCTTCTTTTGGAACGTTGCTGACTTAAGTGTCCGTACAGAGGGCGGCGTAGTCTTCGACATGGGTAAGTTGGTTTGCGAATCCTCGATCACACACAGTGATAGAGAATGATGTCTACTGACCCATGATCAGCGGATGAACTCAATTTCGTCTTGCTCATGCAATCCTGGTCCCCACCTTTCGTAAGGTGCTCGAACACCCCGCTGGCAACACGCCCTGTGTCGGCCTCTTGTCAGACGATTCTCGACACCATGAACGTTTCGATCGAACAGACGACTTTTGGGGCTGTTGGCATCGCGGGCGTCGAAGAACACCTCCCGCAGGTTTTGACGGAGCGTGAGCATCATTGCCCTTCGCTTTCGATGAAAAGGTTCTTTTTGCTGAAATCTGCTGCGTGTTCTCTAGCTACTGGGCAATGCTCTATTACTGTTGATACGACCGCGCCGGATGATGCGACTTCGTGGTTTGACTTATGGCAGGCCGCTGTTGCTTTGGATGGCATGTGTGCGAGGGGTGGGAGGGCGGGCAAAGCGCGCTTTTTGGGTGAGTCGATGCTGAATGAGTGCTGTTTAGTTTCGTACGAACAATAGCTTACCGATAAATTCAGGAGATAATCGGAAGCTGGTTATGGAAATAAAGAAGTCATAGTCGCTGTAATCTGAACCCTTCTATCATAAGAAAGTACTTAAGTAGTTAGAGGTCGCCTCCTTAGACTTTAGGTGGATTCACTTGTGCACCGCTTCATTCGTTCTAGCCTTATGCGCATCAACTCTTTGTCACTACACCTTTATTCAGAGACCACCAAGATCCCCATATCGTCACGAACACCCTTGCGCATGAAAAGCGTAAAGCGGCATCTACGAATCCCCCTGCGGACTACACCCAAACGTACACTCAAAATACGTCACCTCATCCCCGTCCGCATCCCCCGCAAACGCACACCCAGCACTCCCCTTACTCAACACCGGTTCAAAAAACATCGCAATCGCAGGCATGCCCCACGCCTCCCAGCTCATCACCACCTTCGCAGGCTCCGTCTCGTAAGCCGGCGGTATCGTCCCAAAACTCATCTTCCCCCCTCCCACGGCGAAATCCGCAGTCGCCCCGATCTTGCGGACCCCCATGTCCCCGATCGCGGCGTCGGACGCGTCCCGTGCCCAGGCGGAGTACGTGGCCGGGTCCCCGTAGCCGGCTTGCACGACGTAGATGGTGCAGGGGCCCGTGTAGTTGAAGGCGGTGCTGGTGCTGGGGATGATGGCGCTGGGTTTCGTCCAGTTGGCGGAGGCGTTGATGATGGTGCCGTTCGGCAGGACACCATTTTGGGAGGTTGAGAGGGTTGGGCTGGGAGGGGTGTTAGATGGGGATCTTGAGGGAGAGGAGGGGAGGGAGGGGGTTGTTTACGGAGATGATGGTAGGTATCGTCGGCTGGGTTGATCGTCGTATATGTGGGCGGGATACGCGGAGACGCTTGAAATGGCCATGGTGGCGGCGAGGAAATATGAGGGTTTCATGATGGAAGCGGATTTAGGAGAGAAGAAGAGAGAATATTGAAATTAGTTTAGTTGCAATTTGGGATTCTAAGGTAACGTACGTACGTAACCAGACATCGCGGTGATGATGTCTCTTAAGCACTGAGATGGTTCCGGCTTTGTTTGTCCTTCTGCTTGTCCCCTCCGTAAAGGGTGTAAATGGGCTTGTTCAGATTCAATCCGAGAGTTGTTGTTCCGAAAATAGAGAAGTAAAGCCCCTTTGTTCGCCGAGTCCGTCAAGCGACAAAAGGAGATGAAGTTGCTTCACTAGAACAAAGAGTGCTAGAATCGGTTCGATTTTGAGTTTTGAATGTGGTTTGAGCGCCGTTAACTTACGATTTGTCATTGATGAAGGCACCTCTTAGAACTGAAGTTTGGAAAACGTTGTCGCGTTTGTGGCTCCACGGCTTGTCTGAAAGCCTGGGGTATTGGTCATCGCTTCACTTCACAAACCCTGGCTACCGATCTTCGAACATTCAATTCACTTAGCAGTTTCTACCATCAGAATATGGTAGGTAATCTTCTCGCTTCTTGGCATCCACTCCTGATAGTCTCCTTCATACTTGACGTGTAAGAATCAACCGCCGAGGACATATTGATAGAGCTGGTTTCGCATTTCTTGAGGCGGGCAACTTATTGGATCATGCTCCGAATGATGGAATCCTTATCAAATCATACCCCACACCAAATTTTGGGGTATGATTAGGTGTTCCGTGAAGGTGACATCCTACCCCGAAATGAGCAACGAACTCGGGATCAACATCCCCAAACGCCCTCGGTCCCTCCATGGTCGATGTAACGATGTCATCACCATCATTCCCTTTCGCAGTAGTTTTTCCAGGAGTGTGCTCTACACCGCCATCACTTTCACTGCCGGGGGTATCAAATATGGGGGTTGTGACTTTCTCGGGTTGATCGCGGCTCACTCAGTATGTCGGAATAGCCAGCTTCGGGGCTGTTGAGCACACGCCGGGACCTTATCAGAGAGATATTTCTGGCAGGAGATGCGATGCTGAGTATGGCGAACACGATCTCGCGAAAGTAGAAATCGTTTGTGTTCCATCCAAGCAGAAGATTTTCAAGCATATATTTTTTTGGGTCTGCTAAAACATTCGGAAGATACGAGCAGTCAGGAGCGGTCCATAAAGCTGTGAAAGGGGAATGTCCCCAAGCCTTTTGCATTGACGATAGAGATCGAAGGTCTCTGCTGATGTTGGTTCAGTTTTCAAAACCAAGTCTGCAACAGACCCTTTTGGGACAAGGCCCGGAAGAATAATATGATCCTTACGGGCAGCTTTGACGAGCGCCCGAGTTCAGTCGTGGTCGGTCTTTGCATTTCAAACTCTTCGGCTCTGCCCACTATTGCATACGAAGCGGATTTGGTCTCTCCCACGTAATGAGAAGATGGATATCTATACTAGGGTTAAGCGTCGGCTTAGATTAGGAATTTATAGCTGTGGTATCACTAGATAAGGCGAACGTGAAGGGGGTTAATGTTCCTAAGGATCAAGAAGTCTTTCGCATAGATTGCTGGATCTGCCGGAAGCAGGAACCTGTACGTGATACACCGTAGCTCTCATGGTAAGTCCATAAATGGACATGATCTTGTATCGCTGAAGTAATGAGTGATTTGTGGTCGGATCATTTTGCCTGTTCGGCAAGGTTAGAGGCACCTCTGGCCGGTTTTATCTTGGTATATGGCAGGGCTCCACTCTTAGGTAGGCCTTTGGGCAGCGTCATGAGAGCCCAGATACGCCTGGTCCAAAACGTTCTAAAGCATGTGGGTTTTGCGGATGGCAGATCTCTTCTTCGTTGTTTTAATTGGATTCGAAGCCATCAAGATTTGCGGCCCCGAAGTTGGCGTATTCTGTTGTGGTTAGGGAATTGTTGCAGAACAGAAAAGAGGTGGATGTTGCGGTCTTTCGACACAGGGAGACAGGGTGTTGAAAGAGATTGAATCTGTTTTTTTGAGAGAATACAAGGGGAATCAATGGACGTTCGGTAGATGTAAGTGAAGTTACACTAGTACCCATAGAGCTAGCTGTGGAACATGCAGAAATCCCAAAAAGCCAAAGAGACAATGCGGCTCTCTGGCCCCCATCGACGCATCCTCCGTCCAGCGTCTTGCATCGCCCTTCACATGAGGATCTACAGTGCTTCGTGTGATGCGACCCTCGGCTCAGTACCATTGTGATCCTGAAACTGATGTGACTGCAGCGTCGAATCTTGCGAACGTGATCACTGTGCAGTTGATGCGGCATCTAAGGATCTGATTGGTTCGTTACTGAAGACTTCTTCTTGAAACCAGGCGATTTTCGTCCTTTTATCAGATTCCGAGACTAACATGTAGGAACTCCCCCCAAAAAAATCCACCCAAAGCCTGTATCCCTTTTCTCTTTCAGAACAAATCATCCTGCCAATCAACCCTCTCACTAATCGTGAGCACAACCGTTGTCTTCGCCCTGATACGATTCATCGGGGTCTCCATCTCATCCTCCCGGGGACTACCCAGCTCCAAAATCTCCTCTTCAGTCTCTTGCACTCCCTTGCCTCCATATACAGCGACATTATTGGTCCACGAGCCAAGCGTGACCTTCCCGCTATCGGGCAGCCTGTTGAAACATCGGTCGTGTGCTTTGCTGCCGCTGCGCCATGTCGGGGTTATATGGTTGGAAGGGCCGAAGTAGTCGTCTTGCTCGACGATAGGCCTCTGAGCGCGGCCCCAGACAACGCGGACGAAGAGCGGGCGCAGCGAGGGGAGACAGGCGGATACTACGGCTATTGAGGGCTCGGCGGCTGTCCAGATGCAGGTTGGGACGAAGTCATCTGGTGGGTAGTGTTAGCGAATTACGGGGCCTTAATGTGAGGGGGCGGGCCTCAGGTGGAAGTTACTCACAAGTAACATCGTCTCCATGGTATCGAGCTATCACGACTAGCCGTACCATACTCACTGCAGTGACACTAGAAGTACACCTTCAGTCCCAGATATTCACAAGAAAAGATTGGTGGTTCTGCTTACACTAGACCAGAGATGAAGATGCCGGTCAGGATATATTTCTGCAGCGTGCTTGCTCTCAGACGCCAGAGTACTGGTAAGGGCTTTCGCTCGCATTAGTGCAACGCCACGATCCCCTGGAGAGCCATCACCCACCGTGAGTAAGAGAGCAAAATCCGTAACTGTATTGATGGAGCCATTGACCAGCAGGAATTTGACAAGGTTGATGCATCGACCGCCGAGCTCTGGGGCGAGATAGCCGCCCAAAGCGACCCAAAAGTCGTGAACAGGTGTACATTCGAGGATGAAAACGACGGTGGATGCGACCTCAAATGCCAGCACGAAGGCACCGCAAGCACTGATGATGCGCCGGAACGAAACGATCGGGAAGATTCGGTATTGGAATAGAATACTTATTGTGACGGAGGGCTGTCAGGCAAGCTGCTTGTAGAATCCGAGCTATACGGATGCACCAATGCTTACACTGAGAACTTCACACAAGCTATGCCGAGCGAGTATAGTATTTCAAAAGCATAGAGGTGTTGATAGAAAGACATCAGGGTTGCTTGGGATAGCACGGCGGTATGATGTCCCAGTGAATGATGAGAGGCTGCGGGCGTTATCAGAAATGGTACTGATCATTCTTACGTGGTGCTTCATGCCTAGAATGTTGATTATATTCGGACCCCAGGAGAGCATCTGCAGCATTGTAAGTTCTGAGCAATTCTGACAACAAGCTCCGAACATTCTGAGATTCCAGCCTACCATTCCAAGTACCACAGTCATGTCATCCCACTGGAAGATGTCAATTCCTTTCCTTCGCTAATTGCATCACGTTACGGACAATGCGACTGGATAAAGCATACCCAAAACCCAGCTCCAGACATGTATCGTGACATGACGCGTAAAGCGACGAAGACAGTTGGGAGAACAAGCAGGGTCACCGAGGCGCTGATGACTTGGCCATCGCGGTTGGCGTAAAGCGAAGGATCCTCAGCCGCGGTAGGAATTGTGGGGCTAGACATGGCTCGAGGCAAGAAAGCCATCTCAGCGGCAAGCAAAGCGACAAATCGACACAACGACAGCGTTCACCAGACGACGCACGAAGTCAAAGCCTCATGGAAAGAGCATAGGAAACAGCAGACTCGGGAGGCAGATGGGAAGAGGGTCAATATGGGCTGGCGAAAGATGAGAGGGGGATTGGGGAATCGATCTTCGTGTCAATCAAGTTTTGTGACACCCAGGGTCCCGGAGCTAAGTGTGTGGCACGGTCATCACGAGGTGTGCACTCCAATCATCTCCATCTCGAGCGTTATCATCTTTATTTGGGGGGCACGGGGGGCTCAGGGCCTCGTGGCAGTTCCACCGTCCCGCTCCAAGGATTATTGGCTGGGAGCTCGGTTGGCCTTACCACCTGGCTCGCTTACTTGTATCAGGCGCTCGAGCCACTCCCTTCCCTGTCCTATCGAACAATTTCCAGAACTTGGAGTTGGAGCTGTCAGCGGGAAGCCTAGCGAACGGCCGCACACACCATTATCATGCACTTGCGCAGGGGGTCGGCATCCTCCTTATCACCATCGACCCCGCATCGTGGCACAGCCTGATTGCAATCTCACAGTTTGGTGTACCCAGCATGTTGGTTCTGCTGTCCTGGTAACCGCTTTTTCGAAGATGAATGATGCTAGCACAAGACTGCAAAGTCATCAAGAAGAATGTCCATTGTGCGGGCACTAAACATCAATAGTGACACTACCGCTGTCCAATTTCCGACAAAAGCCCATGATACGAGACTTAGATTCCGCTCCGACCAGAGGTCTCGGTTGCACGTTCGCAACACGGTCTTGCCTCGCTAGCTAACAACGAGTCTCTTTACAGAAAGCGGTTCGACCGTACGTGGAATACTCCTTGCGCTACCCAAATCCTCAACCAAATTCTGCCTTCAGCGGAGGTACCCAGAAGCTCAGGGGTCAAAAGTGTCACAGTTGGTGGTTTGGATCTTCGGGAGGTGTGATAGATAGCATTATACGGTAATATGCGCCCAGAAATTATCGGTAGATATGTAGTCCATTTCTGAATGAAGAGAAGGACTAGCAACAAACTTGCCGCTAACCGAAGAGAGAAAGCCAGGGGTGCCAGTGCTGGGACTATACCGCAATGATAGTCGGTTACCCTCCCACGAGGACACGATGGAACTTGAGTATGAGGCTGCGACCGCCGAGTTGGGCGTGATATGTTCAAATCTTAAGGTTCAGTATATTTGGATACACTTACTAGGGCATTATTAGCCAGTTTGAATTCTTTCGCACCGATGATCTCAGATTGGCAAAAGTTTTCTGTCATATTTACAATATAATACGTCCTGAGTTCTGAATGCGAGGACTTGCTCATGACCTGTTCGAGATACGAGTAATAGAAGTCGCGATCCAAACGTGGAGATACTGCTGCAGACGTCAATGGACCAGGTGCGAGACATTGAACAGAGATTGATGGCAGCCGGATTCCACGAGGACGCCTTGGTTACCGGGAATAGGTTTAGACCACAGCAGCTGAAAAAAATGAGATACCTAGAACCCTAAGTACAGCATCTCCTGGCGAGCTACACGTAACGCCAACTGATGCAGGGAGACTTAACTCAAACACCGCCCTTAAAGTCCTCTCCTCCAGCATTTTCGTCAACCTCCATCGCTTCCTCCAAGCCACAGACATCAAAAATACTCCTTGGACTAATCTCTGTTTCATGGACGCCTGTAATCCCTTCGACCTTCAACCTCTCAAATGCGCTTTTGATCGCCAAATAGGCTGGGACCAGGGTTCCGAAGGAAAAGATGATGATCCGGAAACCCATGTCCCTCGCTTCATCTACGGTGATCAAAGGACTGTGACCATTCTCAACGACGTTCAGCAGCAGAGGCCATGGCGCGAGATCCTGTACTGCCCGGCGCGCTTCGTCTTTGCTCTTGAAGCCTTCCAGCAGACCGACGTCCGCGCCAAGATCTTGAGCAGCGCGCAATCGGGTGAGGCATTCGTCATACCCGTGTTGTTGGTTCGCGTCAGTTCTTGCAATCAGGACGATATCCGAGCGTGCTTTGTCTTTGGCTGCTTTGGCGGCTCTGATGCGTGAGAGGTAGACTTCTTGAGAGACAACCTTCTTCCCGGCTAGATGGCCGCAGCGCTTCGTAAGGAGCTGGTCTTCGATATGAAAGCCTGCAACGTTGGCACGTATGTACTGGTTGACGGTCGTCGTGATGGTGATAGGGCCTGGATGCGCGGATCAGAAGAAGAAAGAAATCACGGAACGGGGAAGACGGGAAATTTGTACCACCGTAACCCGTGTCCATGTCACAAGCCAGCAGCTATGAGGATCTTGCTAGGATCCAAGTTCGCTATCATGTCCGCATGCTCCTTCATGTCGGTGCGGCTGGCTACGCCTAGATCTGCCATGCCCGACCGCGAGGCAGTGGTTCCGGCACCTGTCTACACGACGGTCAGCCCTCATCCTTCATTTCAACCGTTCAAGAGAGCGAAGTCATACCATATACATTGGCGTCGAAGCCCACCGACAGCGCAATGCGGGCAGAGAATCCATCGTAGACGCCAGGGCAGACGATCAAGTCTTGTGTGTCCCTCAGACGGTGCTTGAGTTTGGTGGCTGGAGACCAAACATGGAGATTATAATTAATGACCACACATCAGAAGTGACCTCCAAGGAACTAGTAAATGTTCACAGTATGAGGTCGAGGACAGGAACATTTTGACTAGATCGGTGTTCATAGCGAGAAACATCACTTTGTTATGCTATCGAGAATATGACTTTCTTTCTTTCACTGCCGATTATGCTCCGAGCTTGTTGAAATCTCAGACTCGTCAACCAGCAGAAGTGCCATTGCAGGTATCCAAGCTCACAGTCCGCTCGGGATCTCTAGAGGAGCTTGCGTGTAGAGCACAACACCATCCACCGCAAAATCACCCACAACTTTCTGACCGCCCTCAGGTCTGGAGACCCACTCCGCAAAAGCGTCCGCCATGGCCTTGTTCTTACCATACGCACCCACGAGTACCCGGGCGGGGTTCAGTAGGATGTCGGTCTTGTCGTCGTCTTTACCCTCCATCTGGACCTCGGTCAGTACAATCCGCCTTCATAGAGACTAGGCGGCTCGCTGTCATACGAATATCTTCATATGCTCTCTGATCCACGGCTCAACTCCGTACCAGGTGCCGCGATCTATGAGCGTGTACTCCTGCAGCTTCGCAGCCGTCGCCAGTGCTTGGTAGGGAAAGTCAGGGTTGATGTGGTAGAAGAAGGAAAAGGGGTAGGACCACGGTGTCTGGCCAATGGAGGTCCAGATGGCGGATTCTTTGATGTTGGTGGCGGATTTGTCGTACCGCGAGAGGAAGCGCACGGTGTTGTCGGAGGCGATGGCGGCGATGAACAACTGGGAGAAGAGCGCTTCGATGGTGGCGGTTGGGGAGACGGTGAGATTTGCAGGGTTGGTTTTCGGTCCTTTCGTTGTCCTGGTGAGATACGAGCGTTTTGGGCAATAATGGCTATACGGTAGATGTGCATACCGACGAGCAGAAAGTGGTCTCGCCACGCGTAAACGTGCTTGTCTGCGATGCCCTGCGCTATCGCGATTTGCTCCGCCGCCGCGTTGTATGTGATGCTTAGATCGGCGGTATCGTCGGCGAGGTGGTTGAAAGATGCCGTGGTGTCGGATTTGATCCAGGATACGGCGAAGGGCGGGCAGTTTGTCTCGCTCACTTGATGGTGAATGAAGGCTTCCGCCAAGGCTTTGAGGAGGCCAGATTGACCGGCTCCGCCTGTGGCGATTCGGAACTTGACTGGTGGTTCGATGTCTTTGGTTGTACCGTAGTATATTTCTGTCGGTTGAATCTCGTAGGGGCTCTTTCGGGATGAAGCATCAAGGTGTGTACGGGAAGCCATGATGGGTAATTATAGAAGGAGTTGAAAGAGCACCAAGGATAGCAGTGGAAGATGCCCAAATGCGAGCGACGTAGATCGAGCGCTTGTAGAAAGTGGGGTGAACATGGCGACTTGCGGGGTTTTCTAGATCCGGTTTGGTGTTTGAACTGACAGGTCAACTCATGTTGCACTCCTCAAAGACGAGTCTCTTATGTATCACATTTCCAGAAAACATGGGAAATTGACTGTATTCGATGCTGTTCAGGCTTCGAACTCATTGAAAAGTGTTCCGGCAGCCTCAACAAGCCTTTCCCCCAACCCCCGAAAGGCGAATTACTAATTCATACCCTGAAAGTATGGATCCTTACCGAATCATACCCCTGATTGTTAAAAAAAATCATATCTCTACACCAATTTCCATCCAAATATAGGATATAATTCGATAATTCACTATTGCTTAAGGTATACTTCGATAAGTTATTAAACTAGCCTTAAACTACGAAGAAGATAATTCGCGATTTAGTCTATTCGACTATAGAAATAAGAGAATTTCTTTGATTATATTTAAAATGAATAATTTCTAAGTATTTGAACCAGTCCACTGTGGACTAGTTCATGGACCAGTCCGACTAGTAGTCCAGAAATTGGGGGCGGACTATTGGGAGCATTGAGATTCAATTCGCCATGACTGGACATGATGTTCAGTCTAGCTGCGTCATGGTCACTTCTTGCAGCTGATCCCTAATATTGATTCCAGATACTGCGACAGCAGCAGTGGCACCAATAAAGCTTCTCAACGTGTTAACGCAACGAGATTTTACGTGTCTATCGCGCTATATTTTGACCCGCTAGCTGAATTGACCCTTCTGCAATATTCAAGGCTTTCCATTTCAACTGGAACGTCACCTCTCCAAATGTTCGTAATGTGACCATGATGTCCAGTACCATGACTCTCAGCGCTTTTGTGACGAAGCTGTAATTCACCTGAAATTGGCTGTCGACTTCAACTATGTTGATAACGCAGTTGCCGGACACGCTGAATGCGGTGAGAGATCTAAAGGGGGTGCTTGGAGAGAACTGCGCTGCGGTTGCTAGAGCATCGAGGACAGCTAGGAACACATCCTTACTGTTGAGACGGGTGCCGGAATAGGTGTAGGACGTTGAGGAACTATGATCGTCGGAATCAGTGATATAGCCCGAAGGGTAGGTCACAGTGTTGCCCTGTGCGGATGCTTTCGTGAGACCTGTATTCGTAGTATTGGCACTACCCTTCTCCAGTGTCCTTGGTGCTCTCCTCTCTATGACTAAAGTACCAAGTTGCCTTCTGTGCAGCGAGAGCGTCGTAAGCACTTCACAGAAATGGGAACCAGCAGAGACATCCAACATTGTCTCGTAGAGCCCCTGGATGATGTTACTGGTTTCCAGCTTAAGTGGACCAGTTGGCCCTTGCTCGGATTCAACGTCAATCTCCACGTCGAAGCCATCCACCCAGACTGTTAAGCCCCCAGCGAGCGCCTCATGCCATCCTATCTGTGCGAAGTGATACATGCAGTCAATGGCACATAGATACACTCCCAGAGGGCCGAAAGGCTTGCTTGTATCGTAATGGATCTCTACCTCGAACCCAGGAGGACGGGCTGGAGCAGCAAGCGTCGAGGCGCTGAGAAGTTCAAGAATCAGCATAAGGCTGTTTGTGGAATAGATACTCCTGCTGGCTTACTTCACCGGAAGAACGAGGCTCGGGAGTGTGTTTCTTGTGCCATTAGCCGGTAAGGGACTCAGAATGGTAGAGACCAAATAAGAACAGTAAAGTTGAACTATCAGGAAGGTGTTTAATTTCGCTGCTGGCCGCAAATACTGGGAGACAGACCTCTCACCCATGACATGCCAAAAGCCAATCCAGCTTCAACGCAATTGTAAAAAGAAAGACGCTGGTCTACGAAACAGCTCACTTTGAGGCGGATATCGCCACTTTCGCCCTAGGCGACATGCGAAAAGGCGTGACTTTCAAAAAGCAACGGTAATGCGATCCTATAATCAATTCTGCAGAGATCCGCGCACGTAGCTTGTCGGGTCTTCAACATACTAGGCTCAGAAGCCACGAATGAAGAGTGAAAGTAGTCCGTACAATCTAGATCCCGCGGCTGGTCCCTGGAGCAGCGAGGAATCACTGTTCTAGAGTCCCCTCAAGCATTCAGCGACGTTTCGCCGACCCCTTTGGTCTTCATGCCTCAGGCAGTTCTTGCCTCATGCAACTCTTTGGAGTGATATCAGATACAATTCGACTCGCTTCGCCACCTTTGCTGCTGTGCGACGAATTACGAACGACCTTCAAGAGGTTTCATGTCCTACTCTGATTCCCGCGTCATTGATCAGTCAACCCATGGTGAGGGCGCTGCCGCGGTCCGAGCTAGCTCCATGGTGGAGTGAGCATGTCATATACTACAAGCCCTGCTCGAAAGCTCGACTGCCTAAAGTCACGTAAGACGCGTCGATTGCTGCTCAGTCAATCAATGAATGACGCACCACATCTCGGTACCCTCATAATGACAGCAGAATCTCCGTTCATGCTCATACCAATTCTTTTCATCCGCGGCTTCTGAGGAGTAAAAGCCACGAAAAACAGGCGTTGCCCTGCCATAGTTCCTTGGGCAACTTCTGCTACCTAGAGTAATTCACTTACTACTAGTTGTAATGAATGGTTCCATTCCGCGCATTTATAGCCTCCCGTCTTTGACTCAATGGTGAACCTCCAGTCATCTTCAAATGTCTTCGTTGAATGTCTCAGCAAGCGGTGCCTTCGATGAAAGCAACAACCTCCGCGCAGGCTGCAGGAACTTCAACTTTCTCCCCAACAAAACGAGTTGTATTGGGGTCTTTCCTGGCTTGATTGATACACGATGTATGCAAAGGTTCCTTGCTGCCAGATTTGGTCCCGCTTTGATCTCTAGAATCTGGATAGTCAGTTCTCGGCGAAAGCTGGAGATAAATTAGTCATTAAGCTCAGTCAGTATTTTATGACTGTCCCTTTCACTTTTCCATATCATCGGCAATTGTGCCTTTTCAAAAGATGTGCTTACGGATCTTTCTTGAACGTCTTGGGATGTTCCAACATCGTAGACTCTACAATTGGAGACTTAGCTGTAATGTCTAACGACCTTGAGGCATCGCAATGATTAAGGAATCAAGAATCCGCTGAGGCTCGCAAATTACCTAGGCCAGTTAGATGTGAACTCGCCCATCAAACCACACTGTGCTGTCTCTCCTCGTTTCTCTATCTGTGAGTCCTACAAATCTGCCTTTTCCGACCCCACTATCGAACCTCTCGACATACCTTGTTTCTCGGCCCTCCCTCCTGTTCTTTTCTGCAGATCACTTTGACTCTGTCTGGTTTCAAACTCACGTTGTCTTGCTACAAAAATCGCAGATACATCCACCAGTGCATTGTTCAGCTTCTCACTGGGTACTGTGTCTTTACGGTCTTCGCAAATACCTTTTGTCAGAATTCAGGGATGTTAAAAAAAGTGGTGTATAGGTTGCATCAGCTATGCTTTCTCAGGACTTACCCGGGCGAGTGTTTGTACCTCTTATAAATTAGGTGGTTGTTCCAACAGGTGAGAAAATAAGCAGCACCGCGACATTAGGAATCGAAACTAAAACGAATTAAATACCCCCACCAATAAGGTGGCTGGGAAGGGGCTGAGAATCTTATTTGGACACCTTTCTGGTTGTTTTGTGATCGCACTGCACGTTTTTCTAATAACAAGTACAGAGGTCTGCACCGAAAGTCCTGCACCCGCACTAGTGCAGCCCTAACCCTACTTTCGGAAAGCGGCCCTGTAGAGGGGAAGCCTAAAAATATCTTCTCACAGCGTATAATAGGACTTAAGATACTTCTTTTAGCCTTAATAGAGGCAGTAAGCCCCGAAACCTGGCTAGGGCTAGATGCGATTCCGAAGAACTTTAGACGTATTATCCAGGTAACCCTTTAGGTGGGGCATTATCCGAAGTCTGAGCGCAAGAGTCTTGGCGGGTGCAGGACTTTCGGTGCAGACCTCTGTATCTCTTGTGGCAAACTAGTACGCAATCCGCTACAAAATTTCCATCGCAAGCATAGCTCGTCATTATCTCAAGTGTGACCTCCCAGCCCTTACTAATTGGCTAACCCTCAGATTCCGACCCAGCACACCTATGAAAGCAACCAGCCAAGGTTTCCCAGTGTCGACGTCGGAGAACCCAGTGGTCTACTAAATTAAGTGTCAGCATTCGTATGTTGATAATTATAGACACACTCATTTACCTTTTTCTTGTGGATATAATCACCCTGACCACAGCTCGTTCGAGCACATCCATGTGTAACCACAGGAAACCCTCCCTCGAAGATCCACTGGGTAGCCTCTCTTGGTTGGATGCTAGGGGCTACCTCGACGATATGCGACTTGGTTGCAAAATCTAGGTGTTCCATCAATAGCCTTTTACCTGGTCCAGACTTGTGCGCAATTAGTTCTGCCTCATCAGAGGACATGGGATGACGTACAGCCTGTTTGGCGTCAAGCTTAGAGAGTGCGACCTTGCTCGAAAGTTGATAGCATTCAAGATGATTGGCAAAGGCGTTAAGGAAGTCGTTGGGGAGAGCCAAGGGCTCTTCTTGTCCGTATTCAAAGGCTTGAAAGTTATTGCCGTCCCAAAAGAACGAAGTGCCGGTTGTGGAGAGGGAACTTTGGATGGGTTCAGGCTTGCAGACATGTCCATTGTGTACCATGATGGTATCTTGGGCCAGCTCAAAATGCTTGTGAAGGAGACCTACGCCAACAAGTTGCTCAACATTGAATGCCACGATCAAATGGCCGAGAGCTTGAAGGGTGGCATCAGGGAGGGCGGAAGTGTCATCGATGTCAGGCAGGGCGCCGTAGACGGAAGGGGAGATGAAGTTGGACGAGAGCATTTCCACTAGTGACTCGTGTTTAGGTGTCGAAGCTCAAGATAAAGGGAGAAAGATGATGGGGAAAAGGATAGATGCTGATGTGTGTAAGGGATAATCAAGAAGTTTGGGAATTTTGAGGAGGGAAGATGCTCATAGGAAAGGGAGTTTACAGACTATTTATGTGCACGCATGTTAGGGCCACATGAAGCGATGGCTGATCTCTTGCAGATGATTAAGGACCTCGGTGTTAGACTCGGTAACCTGTCCAAGATACTATTGTGGAGCTCATTGCTCAGAAGCAGGTTTCTCAACCAACAGCGTAGGTGTCCTAGTATCCACGGCAGGAACTTTCCCAAACTTACATTGCCTAGAAGTCGCTTATGAGACACTTGACGGCCATGAATACGAGGCGACTAGGAAGCGGCAGTTTACTCCATCCCTCTTGGCAGACCCGTTCCCAGCATTTTAGTGTCGCTCTGAAGAGCGGCAAGGATAACTTCATTTGAGGTGAGCCCGCCATCAATTGGCGAGCTAGTCGTTGGCGTTTGATGACCCAGACCGCAGCAATGCACCTAATCCTTCACTACGCCACTCAACAGGAAATCGAAAAAGATAACACTCCCATACTGAGATATGTTGAACTTTAAGTCTCTTGCTGGCGCTAACAACTTTCCCGCAGCAGATAACCCCACAGCATTGGCTCCCAACCGTGACTGCTTCCCCAACTACTAGAAGTAGCGGGGAAACAGGAAAACGTCGGGGCCCCTAATCTTCTGAGGTTTTTGCTATTCGCTGATTTCTCTCCGTCTGCATAGAATCACTCCTACTGCTAGTGAAGGGGAAGAGCGCCGGGTCTAGCGTAGTCTGCGCCACCTGTAGGTATCCATGTCTCATTTATAATCATTTTCCTGCAGCCAAGAATTACCAAAATCACCTCAGCTCATCACACCAACAGTTATAGGGCGTGGCTTCCTTGCAGGCTTTTACAGCTAGTCCACATGTAGCATAGCGGCTTGGCCTAGTGGGAGCATATGTCTGCAGCAGCCTTCCTGCTTCATAGAATAATCAACACCTCCTACCCACCAGAACTCCTCTTCTTCAAATCTGGTAACCGAGCTGAGGAAGTTATAGTGGCCTATCATGGGGGTTGATTAGCTTGCTATGCTACGAAAGCAGTCCTACTAGTGCTTACAGAAAGCCTTAGTACATTGCTTCAGGTCGCGGGGGCTCCGTCTTGTTTGTGTGTGAGTAGTTATTAATTTGATTAATTGATTACATTATACTACCCTAAAGTCTTACCCTAGTAGCCGACTATACGAGTTACGTAATCTATCTAATCCTTTCGATTAATTATATAATCTCAAATAAATGAGACTATATAAGTTATCGTTATAGTTCTACGTTTTATTATACTTAATTCTTAGAAAGGAATATACTCTATATCGCTAAGGCCCTTCCGTTTTAACCGTATTCTTCTTTTTAATCGTTTACTCTAGTAAATTCTTATTATTAATCTTTATTAAAAGCTTAATATTATTTAATAAATCTTATATTTCTTATAAAGTTCGCCGCTATAGAGGCGTAACGTAATTTTATTAATATATTCTTATAAGTAATAATCTCCTCTTTTATCTTTCTTCTCTCTTCGATCTACTATATTCCTCGCTTCTTACTAAATAATCTATATTTATAAAAGATATATCGAGTTATCTACTTCGCTTTACACTCGTATTCTTTATCCTCTATATTCGATATTTATCGATTATAAAGAAAGACCTTAAGACCTATTTTCTTAATTTTTATTTATATTATTAGCGACGTCTTAGCGCGCTTAACTCTCGAATATAGAAGTTATATTTATTTTAACGGTGTTAATTAAATTCTTCTAAGAATATTACTTTACTTTTTATTAGTCTATTTAATAGTTTATTATTTTATCGCGTAATCTCTAATAGCTATCTTAATTATCGATATTATTCTTATCTATATAATTAATAATTAAACTATTTTATTAGTATTTACCTCTACTCTTTTATTATAAATTACTTACTCTCGCTAATTAATAACCTTCTTCATCTTTCTATTTACTTATTTATTACTATTAATATTAATATATATTAAAATCTAGTATAATTCTATTACTACTCTAAGATACCTTAGCGAATTAATAATCTATATTATCTATATTATATAAATCTACTCTAAATACTTATTTAAGTCTTCGATAGTCTAAATCGATATTTAATTATCTATATTTACTATAACTCTATTAAGTTATAATCTTATTTAATATATAACTATTATAGTTAAAGCTTAAAGAATATTATATAACTTCGTTAAGTATATTATATATTAGTCGCTTAAGTCTAAATAGATATTAAAAGTAGAATTAATATCTAATAATATAGCTAAAGCTCTTATCTTTTTATTAATCTCGCTATTATCTATATATATTATTATATAACTCTTATTAATCGATCTTTTAGCCAGTTCTTTAGCGGCTTTTTTAATCTTATAAATTATTATTTTAGAAGACTCTTAATTAAAAGCGACGCTAAAAGAGCGTAGTTTCTTAATCTTATTAGTATCGTCATATCGTTCTTCGAATCTATTAATATATCGCTTTAATAAACTTAATTTTCTATTCTTCTTAGATTTTCTTTTAGACTTTTATCGCTCGAATTATAACTTAATAATCTTATTATATATTAAATTAATAGCGATTTATAAGATAGCTTTTAAGATAATCTTATCTAGCTATTATTTAACTAATAGAAGATACACTTTTATATCGAGTATTAAAATAGATATAGTCTTAAATACTTTAGTTATCTTTCTCTTTATCTAAGATTAAATCCTTTATAATAATAAGAGATAAGTTTTATTATAGTTAATAGTATCTTTAGACTAATATTATATTAAGTAATAATACGTTATTTATAGAATAATTACCGCCTAATAGAGCTATCTTATACTCTTATAATTATTACTCTATATCGATTTAATAATTCTTATTAATATATCGATACTTTTAATAGTCTTAAACTAAATCTTCTTATTATAGTAACTTTATAGAAGTTTAAAGTTAATTTCGACTTCTAGATAGCGAATAAAGCGTCTTATCTTAATATATTATCTCTTATTAAGTTATAAAGAATAATCTAAATTAAATCTCTATTTTCTACTAAGATATAATAGTTAATATTTACTAGAATTAAACTTCAATCTATATTATAACGCCCACTTTATATAAACTTCGTTATAGATTTTATAAAGAGCGTTATAGTTTTCCTCGATAGAGTCTTTTACTATTAAAAGGTCTATATCGTTTATAAAGTTAGTAGCTATTATTCCTAAGTCGACGCGACTATTATATTTATTAATAAGATTTAAATTATAAAAGAGATAAAGTATAGGCGATAGCGGTAATTCTTAAGAAATTTCGATTACTATAAGAGTCTTTAATATAGAATATTCACTTATTTTTAATATTATTATTCTATTAGATAAGAATAATTCTACTTAATTAACTACTCTTATATCGATTTTTCGCTTTTAAAGATTATAAAGTAGTTGAGAATAAGAGACTTTATTATATATATCTGAAATGTCTAATAGTAACATTATAGTTACTTTATTAGAGTTCTAGATCTAATATATTCTTTCTAGAAGATAGTAAATATCGTATTTATATAATCGTAATCTACGACCTTTCATATATATAGTCGATAGAAGTCTATATATCTTTATAAGATATACTATTCTTTTAGCAAGAATAAACTTTATTATCTTTTCTATAATATTAAGTAGAGCTATTAGCTAATATTCTTTAGAAATTAAATAATTCTTATCCGACTTCGAAAGAATAATTATTATTAATATTCTAAAGTACTCTAAATAGTAGCCGTTTATTATATATATATTAAATATTCTATATAGATAAGAGAGTAACGACTTTAGGATCTTTTTAAGAATTAGATTAAGAATCGTATCTTCTCTCGAGACTCTCTTTAACGGTACTTGCGTTATAGTCTTTCTTATCTTATTTATAATAATTATATCTATTAAATAGACTTATAAATATATCGTATTAATGCTAATATTATCTAACTTCGTCTATATCGATAGTAGAAAGAACGTTCTTATAAGAAGATCTACCTTCAAGCTTAATTCGTTATATTCTTATTTATCTTTATTAAATAATAAAGAGAGATACGCTTATATTATAAGTTGTTTTCTAGTCTACTTAATCTTTTTCTATATCGTTTATAACGACTTATACGCCTCTATTATAAACTCTCTAAACGCCTTTTAAGTAGTTCTCTTAATTAGATTATTTTTAAAGTTCTTAACGACTTTATACTTATCTTATATTTTCTTTAAAAGCGTTATTCTTTAACTTCTTTTTAGCGATTTATAATATCTTTATACTTCTTTATATTCTAATATAAATTTCGATTTAAACTATAGCGATAATTTAATAATCGAAATAAACTTCTTTATAGTCGCTTAAATAGAGTTAATAATAGTCGCTACTTAATAATCGATATTATCGTTAATAAGATTTTTACTATTTCCTTAAAGATTAACTAGATACTCTTTCGATATTATAACTCTAGCGAGTATCTCTCTTAAGACCTCGATATTTAATTTATTAAAGTTTCGATATATTATTAATACTAACTCTATTACGATTAGCTTAAGCTTTATAAAAATTAAGAAATAATTAAATTCGCTTTTAAAATTATTTTTAATATTATAATTAATAATATTTACTATTAATACTAGAGTAGTAAATAGTAGATCTATTATTATTTAATAGTTTTTTTTATATATTATTATTTCTATTAGTAATACTTATTCTATAACGAATTCTTTCGCTATAAATATTAATTCTTCTACTCTCTTATCGATATAAGTATTTAATCTTTTCTATATTATATAATAAAGATTAAAATCGCTTAATATAATTTATTCGTTATTCTTAAACTTCGTAAGCGTCTTATATAATTTATTAAGTTCGTCTATTTATTAGTTATCGAGATTATATATCTATAAATCTAAAAAGTTTCTACTAAATTTTAAATTGCTAATCTTGCGAATAGAGTTGAAATTAAGAATTTCGTCGGTTTAGCAACTATCTTAAAAATTAGCTAAAATTCCGCCGGTTTAGTAACTATCTCAAAAATTAGTTAAAATTCCGTCGGTTCAATAACTATTCTAATCTTTTTTGCTAGTTCTATTAGTTTAGTAGTAATACGTATAAAAAAAGAAAAGTTCTAATAATCGACGTTGTGATAGTAAGGTTCTACGGCGATAAGTATTAATACTAATTTAAATTTAACTACGAAATTAGATAATTTAATAAAATTAGTCACGTAGATAATACTCTAATATAGCGTATAATAATACGTATATTAATGATAATATATATTAATATTATATATATATAGAATAATACTTACTAGTAGAGTATATTAGAGTATATTACGCAAAATTTTTAAAGTTACTAAATTTTTTTAAAGTTGCTAAACTGATAGAACTAGCGGAAAGAGTTAGAATAGTTACTAAATCGACGAAAAGAATTAGATATAAGTAAAGTCTGCTAAATAAACTAAATCGTGCTTATAGTGCGGACCCGGCGGAAATCGTACGGAAAGAAACTTTTCAGATTTGTAGATATAGATATTATATATATATATAATTCTATTATTTTCGAACTTAATATTAAAAGTATAGAGGTTTAATAAATAATATAATAAATATTATTACTTTAGTAATATTCTCTTATTAATATAGAAGTATATTTATACGTTATTATAATAGAGATAAATTAAGTTAAATCTATTCTTTAGAGAATAATATAATATATTTAAATTAATATTTCTTTAGAGCTTCTAAATTACTACTATATCGATATTATAAATCTTTTTATTATCGAAGAGTTCTATTATAACTATTTTAAATTTTCTTATATTATATTATAGTATTAATAGCTAACTAAGATATACTATTATTTCTTAATATTATTATTAATATTACTTACTCGCTCCGCCTAGTTTATAAAATCTATATCTTCTTTCTAAATATTTTTCTTTTCTTAATCGTCGATAGATTAAATATATCTCTTTTTATTTCTATTAATGAGAATCGTAATTCTCTTATTATCACTCTTTTAACTTAGAGACTATCTATCGTTCTCGAGATTATTAATTTCTCTTATCGCTATATCGTTCTTATATTATTTAACTTCATCTATTACTTTAGAGAGTAATCTATTTCTAGACGAGACTCTTATTAATAATATAGAAATATATCTTCTTTTACTCGGCTAGAGATTTAATATAATAATTCTTTTAAGATTTAACGCTCTAATTTCTTCTCTATTAACTATTCTATCTCTATCTACTAGCTTATCGCGCGTAAATATTAGTCTTAAGAAAAATTTCTTATTTCGCTTACGATTAAACGTATTCTAAAAGTAATTATTTAATTAATCGCTTATTTAATAGCTAGCTAATATCTTCTTTATTATTATCTATAAATTTAAAAAGTAAATTTTCATATAATTTTCGTCGGGTTCGTATTATAAGCACGATTTAGCACGATTTAGTCTATTAAATAAACTTTATCTATATCTAATTCTTTTCGCTAGTTCTATTAGTTTAGTAACTTTAAAAAATTTTTAATAACTTTAAAAATTTTACGTAATATACTTTAATATATTCTAAGTACTATTCTATATATATATAATATTAATATATATCACTATTAATATACGTATTATTATACGCTATATTAGAGTATTACTTACGCGATTAATTTTATTAAATTATCTAATTTCGTAGCTAAATTTAAGTTAACGTTAATATTTATCGTTATAGAACCTTATCGTTATAACGTTAATTATTAGAACTTTTCTTTTTTTTACGTATTACTACTAAATTGATAGAATTAATAGAAAAGATTAGAATAGTTACTAAACCGGCGAAATTTAGACGAATTCTAATTAGATTTACTAATTCGACGAATTTTGTAATTTCCGCGATAAACGCGCGATTAGCAATTTCAAATTTTGTAGAAACTTTTCAGATTTATAGATGATTATAAATTATAAAGAAATTTATTATCTCGTCATTCTTATTCTCGCTATCTTCCTCTTCTTTACTATATATATCTTATTTTAAGTCTTATATAGTTCCTTATAAATCGAATATTTATAAGTATCGACTATATAATCTTTATAATAATACTTTTCTAAGTATTTCTCATATACTAAGTAATTCTTTTTAGAGTATATAGTCGATAGATAATTATATTTTTAGTATATAAAGTATTACTTTAATCTATACTACTTATTATAGACGTAATAATTATATAATTTCGAATCGATAACTAGACCTTCTTTTAATACTCTATTTTCTTTCTCTAGAGATACTAATTCGATAATTAATAAACTCTTATTATAACTTTCTTTATTCGCGTCGAATTAGTCTAGTTATACTATATTAAGACTTAGCGTATTAATATTCTTATTCTAAATTCTTTTAATTACTATAATTATATCTTTAATATTAAATATATTAATTCTCACTTTATAGAGTAGAAGACTATACGTTTTAATAATTACTCTCGCGCTATCACTTATCTTTAAAGTTTAATTCTTACTTTTTCTTAGTTTATTCGTCTTCTTCTTATTTATAACTATAATATATATATCGCTACTCGCTAGCCTTCTAGTTATTCTAATAGATTTTCTTATAATATCTATATTTTTTATATATTTATTAATTATCGTAATTATCTCGCTCGATATCTTTCTCTTTAATACTTTACTTATTATCTTATCTTATAACTTTATAATAATCTTATTTAGCTTATTATATAATACTTAATCTTATTTTAATATTATTAATAATATAATAGAAATTTCTTTAATAGTAAAGAAGAATATTAAGAATTAGCTTAGTACGCTAATATAGCTAGCTATCGATATATTACTTTCTAAACTAACTATCTAATACTTAATATATATAATCTTTTTCTTTATATTATTATCTTAATTACTTAAATTAATAGCTAGTTTATATACTTTATTTAAGACTATCTAAATTTTAAATTTATCGTTTATTCTTTCTATAAATACTATCGCCGCTCTAAGAGTAATAGCTACTTCGTCTATTAATAGTTTTTAATCTTTATCTATTATTTTTAATATAGTATTTATTAACAACTTTAGTATAAATATATACTTCTTAAAATTATAACTATTATAATCTCATTAAGATTAATTAATCTTATTCGATATAATTATAGAAGTATAGATATTCTCTAAAGTCAATTAAAGAGATACTAGCCTTACTAAGTGCTTTGAATATATATATCTACTTTCTATAGCTCAATAATATAGCATGAGCGTTGTGCGAAAGTTTTTGTCGAGGAGGAAGCATGTGCTTGTGTGAGTAGTTATAGGGCGTGGCTTCCTTACAGGCTTTCACAGCTAGTCCACATGTAGCGTAGCGGCTTGGCCTGGTGGGAGCATATGTCTGCAGCAGCCTTCCTGCTTCATAGAATAATCAACACCTCCTACCCACCAGAACTCCTCTGCTCATCAAATCTCCAACTCGCAGGGCTTACTTCTGATCGAATAGAATTTCATCAGACCACACATTAAGGAGCTAGATGGCTCAAGAAATGCAGACAGACCCGGAACTTGTACTTGCCAGAGGGCTGGGATGAGAGTGAACGACTGCTGATCAACAACTTCTTCGAGCTGAGAGTCCCGAAAGTAGCCGAAACAACTTGTTCGGCTTCAGAGTGTCGCGAGTTTGCACAGACGCTCATGCAGGGGAAGAAGATTGTTCTGGTCAACAACCAGGGATTCCACAGCTACACGCTAGCATGCCCGGAAAGCAACCATATCATCCAGTTCCGGTTGAAAGAACTTTGCACCAAGTTCATCGACGAGGCCAAGGAGATCTACGGTCATCTTGTCAGCCGTGTGGTTCATCACCGCGGCTTCACTCTGCCGGTCTACACCATCGACATTGTTCCCGGGGTAGCACACTACTGGCAGGAGCCTTCTCGAGACCACTTCCCGCTTGAACGCGAGCTGAACACCATCATCGATCTAGCCCAGTTTATTGCTAGATCATCTCACTTTCCTCATCCACCAATCGAGTGCAAAGATAGCAGCAGAACGAAACGCGCTCGCGACACCTTCGAGAGACTCGAACAGAACTCGTCGCTCAAAGAGATCGCTCCAGATATATACGCCGAAGTCACCTCCGTCACGCCAAAGCTCCACCTGCTTCAAGACCTCCCTCTAGTCCTCACCCACACTGATCTCGTCGGTTTGAACATCTTCGTCGACCGCATTACAGGCGGTATCACGGGTGTGATTGATTTCGATGATGCGCAAATCGAGGCTTTGGGAATGAACATCGTCACGCTCTACGAATGGTTCGTCGGCAACATGGAAGATGGTCACTGGTCTCCCTACGATATGCCTGCAGGCGATAAGTACGGCGGCAAGAACGTGGGTCAGGTGTTGGAGGCTGCATTCTGGGACGCCTTTTGGGACAATACGTCTCCGGATTTGAAGAAAGAGGACACCAAGGAGGCTCTATCTGTAGCTCTGAGAGTGGGTGTAGTCAATCGCTACATCGTGGATGTTGGTATGCTTGACGAGGTCGATCTTGAGAACGGCCGCGGTGACGATCGCTCGCTGGACTATGCGAAGGGCATACTGTTTCATCTCCGAGATTCAGGAATATAGTATAGAATCAGACAAATCACGTCTGAACACGGCATCTACCATTTCAAGCGTGTGCTTTCGTTCTTACCTTGTCCGGGGAAGGGACTATTCCTGGAATTCTGCTCCTGGGCTCTTGATACACCCACAGTTCTTCAAGGCCGCAACTGGATCCCATCCTCCAGTAGCGTCAGTGAAAACCTCAAGCTGAATAACTTTGACACAGATACCCATCACTGCGTGTCCTTTAGCATTGATGATCTATTTGAGGATGACCGTGGCATAATTTCAGCTAGAGACGCCAAATACGCTGAAACTTTTGCCTGGGAGGTCGTTGAGTACATCCTCAGAGCTAATGTGCAAGAATTTGCTTCGAAATACCGAGCTTATACTATTCACTGTCTGCGATGCCTGATGCCTGTGTTTGAGACGGATTGGGTTATATCCGCAAACGGTCGTGACGATTTGCGGCGGGCAGGTCTACATGCTAGCCCTTCCAGTACACTCTGCCCGTCTGGCCATCTGGTTCCATAACAATGTCACGGGACAAGCGCGTATTAAAAAACGGTTTGTACACTCTCTCGAACATTTGGCGATTTCTCTCCCTCGATCGCTGTCCGAACGTCTCCTGAGCCTCCCGTTCTTCTTTTGAGGTGCTCGTAACAGGACCATATCCTATACAATCAAGGTAGTGCTCTAGCTCTACACCGATGAAAAGTCCTGGATAAGCTATCTCAAATGTTTCCTGAATGACATGCCATTCACAGTTCGGTGCGAAAAGTAACGAAGTGGGCGTGGCAAGATTCTGAGCAGCAGGGTTTTCGAGTACAGTGAAGCCTCGGGATCGAAGGAATTCCGCATCCAGAGAATTCATGACGGGATCTTGGATGAAAACGTCCGGAATTTCGTGTGTCTGTCCTTGATACTCGAGCCGTATCAGCAATGAAGACGTCCGAATGTCCGACAGTTGGAGAGGGTATCACGGAGGGGAGACAGGCTGTATATCACTCACGAAGAATATCAAGTATAGCCTCAAATGCAATGAGCTGATCGAATGACCGATCTCCAGGACAGTAGGGATGAGTACCCGTAAATGTGCCTATCCCAATGCAAATGCAAGACTTTAATGTAAAGTCTTGTACTTTCGAGATGGTAGTTTGGAAGAAGTCAATCATCTCCGCACAGCAGGAACCCTCTTTCCATCGAGCAGTACGTTCTTCGTGGGCCATGACCAAGTCGTTCAGCGTCATACCAGGAGGCGCGATTGATTTCCGAGATTCATACAGCATTGGCGCTTGTGATTCCTTCCCATCTTTGATCAAATGAAGCCATCCGTTGGGATCCTTGATGAATCTGGTCTCGCCGATCAGAGGAACAGGCAATGGTTGAGGAATTCCCCTTCCAATGGAGTAGACAGTCTCGTCATTACTCGGTTCGGCGAACTCCTGTAAGTCGGAGTCATGGGATGCTGCTCTTTCCAAAGCCATGTAAGGTTTGACCACACCGCTCGTTAGGAGACCGGGAAGTTGATCGTCGGGGATACTCACGCGGATATGAACGGATGTGATGGTTCTCCAGCGTGGCTAGCGGGGGAGCGATTGCCTGGCGGCGTTCTATTCTCAGCCCTATACGGAGGTTGGCACGCAAAGTAAGGTACTGAACATGCCCAAACATGCCAGAAGTTCGGGCTAGGTTACCTAGACAATGCGCTTAGAGATCAGGCCTAAGCCGCGCATTCCAAGGCTCAACGTAGGGCTCAATGCCTTATAGAGGCGCCCGGAGCTCAAACTTAAGCTCCCAGAAAGATTTACGCCATAGGCTTACCTTCCGAAACTAGGGCTAGGGTTACTGCTAGCTCTTCTTGGCATGTTCAGGACTTTACCTGCCGACCTCCGTAGACTAGGCTGTTTTGAAGAATCAAAGGATTGAATTGCATTTCAGAGGCGTGATACTGTAAAGAATAAGAATGATCACGGTATCGTGTGGGTAGAAGAGGATGTAGATTCTATGAAGGCAGGATCCCAAGGATTCCCTAAGAATCTAGCCAAGCAAACTATACTATATAAAGCTAGAAAGAACGACCTCGTAGAAAGCACCTTTCGACTACTACGAAATAAATAAGATAGAGCCTTAGCGACTATAAAGCTATATACAAATATAGGTAAAAGAAATAAAGCCGTAGTATAGTATAGTATCTAAAGTAAGAATAAAATTAACTACTATTATTTCTATAATTATTTTTATATAATACTATAAAAAGTAAGAACGCTAAAGCCTTTCGTAAGTATATATATCTTTAAGAAAGTATAAACTTCTCGGGAAAGTATAAACTTCGGGAAAGCTTCTAGCGAGGATATTTAGTAGTTTGCTATTATAATAATAAGAGGGTAATAGAATTTAGAAGATAGTCTATACGAGTAACGAAGTTCTTAAGATAATCCTCGTGAAATATATATCTGATTTTTCGACTATTAAGTTATATAAGTGTAAAGAATCTTTTATAGAATCTACTATATTTACTTATTCGAAATAGATCTCTTTAGCGAGCTTTTAATTTTTCTATATTCTTCTAATATAATATAATTAGATTATTAATATAATACGTAATTTACTTAATTTTCTTATTATATTAGAAAGCCATATTCTTCTTCTATTAATTCGAACGCTATTTAATTATATTATAAAGATTCATCTAATAAATAAGATATTATTATACGATCTAAGTATAGCTAATAGAATCCTTCAGCTTAATTATTTAAGTAGAAATATTATATTTAAAAAGTATATATAAGATAGATATATTAATAGAAGCTTTCGATAGCGATTTAAAAAGAATATTAATAGAAGAGATTCTTAGATATTTAATAACTCATATATTAACGAAATCTCTAGTCTTTAATAATCGCTAATCCCATTTCAATTCGATATAAAGAGAATTCTTGCGAAGTACTACTTTTAGAAGTTTATTATAAATCTTAATTATTTCTATACTCTTAAAAGTATTAAAAGAGCTATATATAACGATAATACCTTCGAATCTTAAGAATTCTTTTAACTTATTATTAAAGAAATATTAATTATAATCGAGATAATAAATATAAGACTTTCTATATATAGTAAAGAATAACTTAAGATATTAGATAATATTCTTTATATTAATAAAGATAGTAATAAAGAAAACTATAAATCTACTTATATAGTAGACTTTTACGAGTATAAAAGTAGATTTCACTTTAGTAATTTTAAGTAAATCTATAAAATCTATTTTTATAAGTTAAAAAGAGTATATAACTTTAATAGAATATAAAGGCTAAGATCTAATAGTAGGTTTATACTTAGTATACTTAAGATATCTAGCAATATACTTCTTAATATTTTATACTTTCTTAGGCTAGTAATAGCTATATAGTCTTATTAGAATATTAATCTTAGCCTAATATCTACTTTTATTATAAACTTTTCGAAGTATAATAAGTACTTTTCCTTTCAATATCTGCAAATCTGAAAAGTTTCTTTCCGCACGATTTCCGCCGGGTCCGTATCATAAGCACGATTTAGTACGATTTAGTCTATTAAGTAGACTTTATCTATATTTAACTCTTTTCGTTAGTTTAATAACTAAATATAGTAAACTTCGCGTTTAATAAGCTAAGATAGTATTTATTTAGATTAATTAGATTTTAGAGTAACTGTAAGCTATCAATTTAATAGTATATATTTAAAAATTTAAGAGACTATATATAAGATAGATTTTTTAAATTATCTAAGATAGATAATATTATTAATAATAATAATATCTATTAAAAGTTTAGTCCGACTAATTAAATATATATTAAAAAGATTTTCGAAATTATTCGAGCTAGATAGTATTATCGATTATAATAATATCTATAAAAATTCTAGATTAGTTAGTCTCGCTAATAATATTAATATTTATAGCGTATTTAAATTAGACGATATCGTCGATTATAACAATATCTCTAGAGTATCTAATTCAAATTAGACTCGATATCTCTAAATATCTAGTAAAAGTCATCGATTTAAAATTTATCGCGGTATCTTATTATAATATTAATAATATTTATAATCTCTAAGATATAGATTTTTAAATAATTAGAATTTTAAGCGCTATAGCGGTGTTTAATTCTTTATTAATTCTTATTTAATTCGCCTAGTAGATAAAGAGACTAATTCTCCCTATTCTATTTACTACGCTATATATTCTTTATATTTTTCCTCTCTATTTAGTATAACTTTATTAATTTATAAATACTTATTCTCTTTATAAATCGTCTTTTCTTTTATTCGCTATAATAAAACTATAGACGATATATTAAAGTTTAATCTTTTTTATCTATTCTCTCTACTTATCGAGACGCGGAGTATTTATACTTTAGACTTAGAGAGATTTAAGTTCTAATTATTATTTATTAAATCGATTTCTTTCTATTTAATTATTTTATATATCGATTATTTCTTAATAACTCGCGAGATTCTCTTATTATCTTCAATTAGACTTAAATTTAATCTCTTAAATAATTTAATATTAGCGAACCTTAGTATAACTTTTTTTAAGATATTTACGAAGCTCGATTTCTCGGTAATATCATCTAGCGAATTCTTATATAAGTTATTTAATTTAGAGAGTCTTTATACCTTTCTTATTAATCTAAGATATATCTCTAGAATACGCTATTATAATATATAGCATATAATAAATCTTTTCTATTATTTTATATCTCTTTAGAACTTCTTAATATACTTATATATTTCTAAGAAGTATTATAATTATATAAGTAGTAGAATAATAGTAAAGAGCTTATCTTCGACTTTCTTATTATCTTATCTTTTAATATAAAAATATCTAGAATTATAATTCTTTAGACTATAATGAAGGGCGATTATTATAAGAATTATAATATTATCGAATAAGAGTAACTAAAGATATTTACTTCTTTATCTAAATTCGAGAGATACTCTTTTACTATAGAAGAAAATTTTATATAACGATATAACTATTAATTAAAATAAGAAGTATTTTTTATTTTAGAGATTATTAGCTAAAGAAGCTAGTCGATCTAAGTTTCATAAAATATATTATATTCTATCTATTTTATAGATTTTAATATATAAATTAAAGATCGATTAATAAGTTGTTAATTATCGTCTTTATATCTTTAGATAATAACGTTATATAAATCTTAAGATAAGATTAAACGATATTCTAAATTTTCTTTATTAAAGTTAAACAAAAATCGTCTATATAGTCGAAAAGCTATATTCTTATTAAAAAGAGCTTAAAATATTAATAATAATAATTAATTAAGAGTATTAATATCTTTCTCGCCTTAAAATATATAAATTAATTATTAATACTTCGTATAAATCGAATATTCTTATAGAGTTACTATCTTTAATCTCTTTATATTTTAATTATTACTTAACTAAGCGTGTTAATATAATACTTTAACTAGAGACTTAACTCTTAAAGATTTAGATATTTAAGACCTTCGCTAGTTATAATTATTATAAATAAAATAATTTTTATTATCTTAAATATATTAAGATGCTCTTTCTTAATATTATAATCGCGCTCTTTTTATTATATTAAATTATCTTAAAGCGCGATCTAACGATTATCTTTATTCGAGTTATCTTATAAAGTATAATCTATATATCTTTCTTTATTCTAATCTATCGATAATATATAATTTGATATTATTGAAGATATTAATAAAGCTTTAAATTTCTCTATCTTATTTAATAGACGTATTAATAAGAAGCTTAAACGAGTTATATATTAATAATGTAACTTCGATATAATAGCGCTTAACGACTCTATTTAGTATAATACTTTTTAATATTAAATTATTTATAGCGATTTAGTTATTATTCTACTATATTTAGAATATATACTTATTCTTATATTAAAGCTCTATGCGAAGTGCTTTAGCTTCGTTATCGTAAAGATAACTTCTCTTAATAAGTTATTTTCTATTTCGACTTAATATATATTTATTAACTTAGATATTTAATTATATAGTATATTCTTATTTCGCTCTATTAATTCTAATTCTTTATCGCTAATAAGAATTATTCTAAATTCTATAGTTTATATTAACTAGTTTATATTAATATTACTTAATTTTAGAATTAATTAACTAATAATTAATATTACTACTCTTTATTCTAGATTTAATAATCTTAATACTTAATTAAGATTTAGATAAAAGTTTTTCTATCGCTTTCTATTAAGATATTAACTCGATAGAAGATATAGATTAAATAAGAATATATCGAGTTTATAATCTTCGCCTTTATCTTTAACTTTAGAAGAGAAATCTTTTTTAATATTTATAATAGTATATAAAACTAAGAGAGTATTATTAATATTAAGAGAAGCTTCGTTATATATAATAATTATAATTATTAATAACTTCTTTATCTTCTCTAAATTAATAAAATCGTTCAAGAATTTATTATCGTT